TTGGAGGGCATATTGTTCCACCGTTTGAAATAAGCAATGTAAACCCGAAGAAAATCCACACCTGCCAAAAGCAGATCTAATTCTCATGTCCTCAAAATCTTTTTCAAATTGCAGTTCGTCAAAGTTTGGATCCGCACCCGCGTTGAGCAACAGAAGGGAACATGCGATAATGTAGTTCGAAGAATTATCAAAATCATGACAGGCTGAATGAGAAAGTAGACTATATAATGGGTAAGTGCGGAATGGAATAGATGCCCCAACATTGTGACCATGTTTAATCAAAATAGTTGTAACTGCCAGTAAACGTTCATACCATTTTTTATCAAATGATAAAGTGTAAGAATAAAGGACATGAAATAAGTTCATCCCTTCAAATAATGTAGATAGATCGGTTCTCAGTTGTAATAAAACGTCTAAACATTCTGGTCTTGCGTTTTTCAAAGCGGCACCGACTGCACTTTTGATTTCTTCATCGGAGGGGCGATCTGATAAAAGTGTACACAGAGCAAACGGTGAATCAAGCTGACACGCCATCTCAATATATGCTTCGTTGCCTTTAAATCTTTTTTCTTGCACAAATTTCCCGTGAAAGTGGTCCAGTATCGTCTTTATGCAACCCACGTGTCCACTTTTTCCCGCCAAATCTAATGGTGTCTGTTTGGTTTCATTAGCTTCCCTGTCGTCTGCCTTGTTCTTGTAGCGATCCCCGGTCGACTTGTAATTGAAGACTGCCGGAACATTGTCTAAGGGTCGTTCCTGGAGCAACATGTTCAAAATCGTTTTATGTCCTAGTCTTGCTGCTAAATGCATGTATGGAAACGACGAAGATTCGTGGGGTGGTTTAAATATACCCTTATGAAATAACAGACTCACTGCTTCCACATTGTTTGCGATGATAGCTAAGTGTAACACATCCATTCCATTTTCTCCTTTGTACTGCTCAATAGTCTTCTTGTTAGCCTTTTCTATACATGCCTTTAATGCCGCTGTCTCGGAGTAAGTCTGTATCATGTGAACCAAAGAGGACACTACGGACGACTCCATTTTGTTTTTAGCGTCCTTAGTTTTGGATGCCGTCCAATAGTCAAAGAAAGATAACTCCTTTTCGTTCTATAATACGATTCTAGCTCTGTTCATACGGTTTATTAGTTCTTATGCCCCCATAAACGAAGTTTACTTCACATGTGTAATATATACTTGTGGCAAGGGCTTTCTTAAGAAACCAACAACTTTGACCTTGACCCTGGGGTTTGACCTACCTTTCAAAAACTTATTCTTGGCCAAAACTTTTGAACAAGTGGTGCTAGGGCTTTCATACTTAAAAATGATATTTCTTGTGCGAAGACCCTACTTTTGATACTAATATATCTGATTTTCATATAAGAAAAGTTTAATCTTCGCTAAGTTGCTAAACGGGGCAACACATCTTGTTTTTTCAAGCATTTACATTTTGAAATAATCGAGAATTCCTTATTATAGTAATTCTACGAGTAAAAAAAGTGCTCATCTATCATCAAGGTCAGTCAGCTCAATATTGATGTGCTTTCTTAATTGATAAGTTGTTTGTAACGATGAACTGAGCTGAAAGCTCTTGAAACTGAGTTGAAGTGGGCTTTTCTGATCACCCGTTGTCCGTCGTCCGTACGTGTGTAAACTTTTCACATTTTCAACTTAAATTCTTCTCAAGAACCCCTTTGCCAATTTTAACCAAACTTGGTACATAGCATACTTGGGTAAACGGGAAATTAAAATGTTAAAATAAAGGGCTCAGCTTTTGACAGGTGGAAATAATCAAGAAAATACGAAAATAGGGTATTAAAATTAAAATGTTAAAATAAAGGGCTCAGCTTTTGTCAGGTGGAAATAATCAAGAAAAGACGAAAATAGGGTGTTAAAATTTTTGGTTACCCAAATTCACATTATTTCCGGAATTTTTGATTGTATGCTGTTTTACATATCCCTGTTCACGGGTTTGTTTTATTAATATTTTCTCCGATTTTTATTCCGTTTCAAACCAAAACTGAGGCTTATAGCATCATTACCGTTGAATAGGCTTTTTACTCCTGCGTTGTTTGGTCAGATGAGTTTCTGTTCCTCCTCAAAGTTTGGAAAGTCACAATCGGGAGAATAACTCAGAAACTCCTCTTCCAACTTTGGTTAATACATTTCTTGAACTATTAAGGGAAATCTTCAAGCAATATCCGCTATAGACTGTAAGATGACCTCTTTCTGACTGTGAGGATTCACGTTTTAAATTGTAAATCCTAAACTGTTAAAGTGACAACTGGATCCTTGAATGAGAAGATCTTGATCATCATACTTTTCTTTGTGATGGCACATTAGAGACCCCCTATATTCCTAGAATATGACTAATGAGTTCAGTTTTTTTTATAATTTTTTTTTCAACATTCCTTATTACATAATGAACACGGCATACCACAAATCTGAAGGATTTTTAGGTCACCTGAGTAAACTCTGGTGACCTATTGCTATCCGTTTTCGTCCGTCGTCGTGCGTCGTGCGTTGTGCGTCGTGCGTTGTGCGTTAACATTTGAACATTTTCATCTTCTTCTCTGCAACCACTGAACCAATTTCAGCCAAATTTGGCACAAAGCATCTATGGGTGAAGGGGAACAAAAATTGTGAATTTCATGATCCCTGCCCCCCAGGGGCCTGAGGGGTGGGGCCAAAACCACTAAAATTAATGCAATCTTTAAAAATCTTCTTTACTCCTGGGCATCAAGCAGTCAAACTGTTAGCATGAATGTAATCAGCAATGAGTCCTCTACCAAAATTGTGAAATTCATGGCCCTGGGGTCAGGGGTTCTAGTGCTTAGTGAAAATGCATTATTTCTTTGAAAATCTCCTTCTCTGCTCCTGGGTATTAAATAAACTAACTAAGTACATAGTTATGATGAGCAAGAGTGCCTCTACCAAAATTGTGAATTTTATGGCCCCAAGGGGTTTTGGTGTTAGGGCAGGGCTCTATTGATTATATAGTGAAAATACAGGAATTCTTTGAAAATCTTCTTCATTGCTCCTGGGTATTAAATAAACTAACTAAGTGCATAGTTATGATGAGCAAGAGTGCCTCTACCAAAATTATGAATTTCATGGCCCCAGGGTCAGGGGTTTTGGTGTTAGGGCGGGGCTCTATCGATTATATAGTGAAAATTCATTAAATCTTTAAAAATAGGGTATTAAGCAGATGAACTACCTATATAGTTATTATCTACCAGGGCCCTAATCTTCCAGAATTGTGAATTTCAAGGCCCCAGGGTCAGGGGTAATATGGGGGGGTGTACTTATATACTGAAAATGAATGAATGGTTTGAAATCTGCTCCTTGGTATTAATCAAATATTAGGGGTTCATGTGTGGTAGGGGCACTACTGATTATTGCTGAATATAACTGATTAGTTGAAATGCTTCCAATGTAAACAAACTAAGCAACTGCTAAGTGTATTGTTATAATGAATTAAATTTAATCACTGGAAAGTTGTTGCATAATGCTCAGGTGACCTATAAGGTCCATGGGCCTCTTGTTAATATTAACGTTACAAAGGCGTCGAAAATGGGGGGGGGGCGCTAGAAATCACCCCTCTTTTCTCTTTTTGCAAATGGACGGACATATGATAGGAATTTAAAAAATGGGGTTGCCTTTTTACATCCCCTTTCAATTTGCTTCCAATGCCTATGCGTTATTTATTCACTTTTTTTACTGAACTAAGCGAAATACTGTAAGCTCAAATTATAATTTAAATTCTTAATCAAAATCTTACTGTCCAGTTCATATACGTACACGTGTATCCCAAGCAGAAATGCTGATTGTGAACATGGTGAAAGCCTGGTGTACTCCTTCCTGACAGAGCAAAGAGCTTCCATGGACAATCATACACTGTGCATCTTTTTCTGTGTAAAAATAAATTTTAAACCTGACAAAATCAGCAGCCTACAATCAATTACAGCAAACAATATATCGTTGTCCAGTCCAGTCCAATACGAAAATTCGTAATATTACGAAAAAACATAAGATTACGAAAAAGCGTAATATTACAAGTTATCGTAATATAAAACTTATAATTATTACAATTTTTCGTAATGTAGTTAAATTACAAATACGCGTAATATAGCAGATTGTAAGAGACTATATTACGAGTTTTCGTAATCCAAGACAAATTCAAGCATTGCAAGAAATTGAGTGGGGGTAGCAAAGTACAGTAATATATCAGATTCCACGGCTACTGATAGCATGCGGTTAGTTTGGTCAGTTACTTACGCCTATCAGAAAGCATGGAAATTCAAGAAGTACCGCTAGCGATGGGTGAGTAGACAATTTCTTTTGCTGTTATTCTTTTAAAGGAATTTTCCCAAGGATAAGACCAATTTTCCAGTAAATTTCAATATTCGCTTAAAAATCACACCCTCGTCTCATAATTCAACTGTTCGTGCTTATCGAAATACACCGAATTCAAATCTCAGTAAGAGTCGTACAAGTTATCGCCCGTGACACCTCGTAGTAAACGTCATACTTTGCTACCCGCCACTCAATTTCTTGCAATGCTCGAATTTGTCTTGGATTACGAAAACTCGTAATATAGTCTCTTACAATCTGCTATATTACGCGTATTCGTACTTTAACTACATTACGAAAAATTGTAATGTAAGTTTTATATTACGATAACTTGTAAGATTACGCTTTCTCGTAATCTTGCGTTTTTTCGTAATATTACGAATTTTCGTATTGGACTGGACTGTTGTCTGTATGAACAAAAAGAAGGCGCGATGACTTTTTACTGTCAAAAAAATTAGTCACGTATTTCATCCTCAGAAAATATTTTGAATATTGACAGCTATGATATATAAGAAAGTCATAAATTATCAACCTTAAAAACACGTGGATTTGTTTATTTTCAACAACCGGAAGCACGTGGTTTTGTTATTTCTCGTGCCAAGTCTCGCGTGCATTTTCGTAGCGATCGTATGTGACGTCAATTCTTATACCCCCCTCTAGGATGAAGGGTTTAATATCGGCTATATAAGCAAGACGATCAGCAGATTTCACCGGCTTCGAAGAAGTCCACATCGGTTGAATAGGGAGGTAGACGTGAATTAAAACGCAATTTCTAGCCAGTGAAATGGCTAATTCAAACCCTGTGGTGAGTGAAAATACAGAAATTGGTAAAATGAAGGGGAAATATGTTTAAAACGAGAAAGTAAAATATCGACCATTTCAGCCGACGACAAAAGAATCCATCTTGTTTTGGCTCTTACTTCGCATTTTGTTTACTCTTGAAAAATATTTTCTAAGACAATGAAGTCAATGTGCTGAGCCTTTTCTGATTGAAAATTTAATTATTTTACAATAAAGATGATTAAAAACAAGAGAAGAAATTGAAATGTCTTCATTTTCTTTGAACAGTGTAAGTGGACATGGGGAATTTTCGCGATTTTCATTGTGAACAGGTGCGCAAATGATCAAGGGCATGTGTTTTACCAAAGAAAAGAAAAAAAAAATAATTTGAACTCTTGTGCTTATAATTTAAGTGAATTTTTTTTTCTTTTTCATTGTAATAAAAAGTTGTTTGGGTTTATTTTTTTCAAACTGATATAAATAATTTAAATGTGTTTAATTCTTAATTGGTTCTAGTAAGTGTTTTGAGATTTTTTTTCTCCCAAATAAAGAAAATGGGTTGATAAATATCTTGAATACATTTGCAGGTTATTCAAAAAATTTTCAAATGATACAGGTGACATATTGAATGAATTAAATGATTTTTTTTTAAAAATTGCATGAAATAACACACAATAGATTTCATAACTTCAAAAGACTCTACTTTGAATAAATAAAAGGAAATAAAGTATAAATAACTGGTAAGAAGCCCAAATTCAATGTAATTTTTACTGCAACCCAAGGCTTGGAAAACCCCAATGTTAGGGGCCCATATCAGGGATATTTTCGCCCCATGTTATTTTCACCCTTTAACATTTGCAGACCATCTTGCCCATTTTAAATTCACCCAGTCTTAGTTTTATTTTAGAAATTGTACTGTATTCTTTGAATTTGCTTGGTTTTAATTTCGCCCAAATGAAGGTAGGGCGAAAGGGGGCGAAAATGAAATGGGGGTGAAAATTTCCCTGTATATAGTATCTGGTATTGCACACCTGAGCCATTAACAAATGGGTGGATATTGCTGACAATTTGCCATAAAGATTTGTCATCTGATTGACTGAACCCACTTAGTTCACTGGAAAACGAGTTAAATTTGCCCTCCCAAGCCTCATTTTGGTCTATCCCTTCACTTATAAAATCATTAGACAATTCAACCTTGACCTTTGACCCTGACCCAAGGATAAAAAGAAATATGATATATATATATATATATATGATCCAGCTTTCTCTGTAATATCTCTGTTGGCAGGATGCAGGGTATATAAAACATTGCTACAGACCTGGTAAACATTGACAAAGCTATAAAATTTATATATTTTAAATTCTTACAAATTAATGGAAGGGATAATTAAATTAAATTAGTTTTTACAGCCTTTTCTAACTTTCACATTTTAAGACCTCTCTTGGTGTAATGCTCATTGAATTTCTCTCACTATATTCCTTTGCATCTCATCTGGAAGTATTTTAAACTTCCAAATGTTATCAAACTATTTTGTATCATTCTTCTTTTGTCATAGTATTGGAAAATACACAAAAAATAATACACACACACGTATATACAGTGTATAAACAGATTTAATTTGTATAACGGGGCTTGATAAAGTCTGAATAGAGAGGAAAAACTGAAACAGTGGGTTACCCCTTTTACCTGCAAACATATAATTTCATAAATGTGAACGAATTTCAATGACCTGAATTTCTTACTCAACATGATTAACAGCCCTGTAAATAGACCTTTCTATTTGGTAACATGTGCTGGCTACATTAAAGGCTAGCATTTTGTTATGAAAGGTTTGAAATGCACATTAAGTTAATGTCCTGTAAATTGAGGGATTTTTTTGCTTAGTAAATATTCAGTAAATATATGAATTATGATGCTAAGAAAATATCCTGTTATAATAAGATCCTGTTTTCCCTGTGTTTACTTACCTGTTTGTATAATTTATTCTCTTTCCTCTGTGTTTACAACCACGTTTGCATATGATTTATCCTTTGTATGTTTACAGCCCTGTTTGTAGATTTTTATCCTCTTTTCTCTTTGTTTATAGCCCAGTTTGTATTACATGTATTTATCTGCTCTGTGTTTACAGCCCTGTTTGTAGATTTTAATCCTCTTTTCTATGTGTATACAGCCCTATTTGTCTAATTTTATCCTCGTTTCTCTGTGTTTACAGCCCCGTTTATATAATTTATCCTCTTTTCTCTGTGTTTACAGCCCCGTTTGTATAAAACGGTGGTAGAGGATGTCATCACCAATGTCAGGGAAGCTTTCCTGGATGAAGGGGTGGATGAACAAGTTCTACAGGAGCTCAAACAGGTGAGTTCAGAGTTCACTTCACCTCAGATAGGTGAGTTCAGAGTTCACTTCACCTCAGACAGGTGAGTTCAGAGTTCAACTCACCTCAGACAGGTGAGTTCAGAGTCAACTCACCTCAGACAGGTGAGTTCAGAGTCAACTCACCTCAGATAGGTGAGTTTAGAGTTCAACACACCTTGGACAGGTTAGTTTAGAGTCAACACACCTCAGACAGGTGAGTTCAGAGTTCACTTCACCTCGGACAGGTGAGTTCAGAGTTCAACTCACCTCAAACAAGTGAGTTTAGAGTTTACCTGAAACAGGAAATCCTAGAAATGAAATGTTTATTTTAAAAAGAGGCAAAAAAAACATTTGACCTCAGATTTCTAGTGGTTGCCATGCTAAAAAAAAATGTGTTAATGCAGTTTAAAATATTGTAAGGGAAGTTGTGTAATTTTTTCTTTTAAGGTGAAGCATTTTTTTCATAACTATTGAAATAGGGATGTTTTGAGTGAGATGTACCGAATCTTTCAATTTCTAACTTTGTTCTGTTCTGTTGATAGTTATGGGAAAACAAACTACAGCAGTCACGGGCCCTGGATTCTGGCCCTGAGCCTGCGGAACAGTTGATGATCCCCTCCACAATTCAGTATATGCCTCAGCAGGTCCAGAGTGCCCCAGTCAAACAGCAGTTCAGTAAGTGTGGGTCATCATTTCTGGGTACATTTAGCAGTACAAATGCATTTGTACTTCATGTAAAAAAGCATTTTTTTTCAGTTGTCTTGCATTTGGTACAGAAAATCTTTTTTATTCCCTTTGGTTACCATAAATAACTTTTTAATTAGAATAAAAGCCTTGATACAGAGCTAGAAGAAAGAAGTTAATGGAAAATTTCAATGAAGATTTAATTTAATCATTAAAGAACTTCAAACGTTCTCATTCTGATTTCAATTTTGTTTAGTAGGAACCTCGGGAGTAGTCACACAGAACATGCCAGTCCCTGTACAAATAGCCAGCCAGGACATTGTAAGTTATAAACTTTCAAGCTATTTGATTTGAAGCAAAAAAAAAACTTCATTGCTACCTTTCAAGATTTAAAAAACAATGTTTTGAATTGCAAAAATGACTTGCCTCTTCCTATTTAGTACATAACACGGGATTTCATCTTTTGTAGAGTCAGCCCGCTGCAGCAGCCCACATGGCATTACCTCAAGGAGTCTTTCAGCAACAGTTACAGGCATTGGCCTCTCAAGGCCTTACTCTCCAACCAACAGGTAAATATCAGGCACTGGTCTCAAAAGGCCTTACTCTTCAACCAACAGTTAATATCTCTCAGGTAATGGCCTCTCATTGCCTTGCTTTCATATCAGCAGGTAAATATCACACAATGGCCTTTCAAAACCCTAATATTCAACAAACAGGTTAATTGACATTCACCACTTAACAATTTAATCATTTGGATTTTTCAAAAGCCCAATATTGTTGTCCTGTAATTTAGTAAAAAAAAAAAAATCATAGGCCGTTGCTGGAAAGTGTACTTCAGAGCAACTTTATACGATAAAACACTCAATACATCAACATAAGACATAGAGAGCATAGAGTATTGCATATTAGATGTACCGTTTGGCCTTCAATTATTGTTGATGTTGTTTTGCAGGGAATGGTCAGTTTATAATCCAGGCCTTACCACAACAAGCTGCCCCTGGTCAACAGTTAGGGGCGCACCAGTTACAGCAGGTGACGATATCACAAGGGGGGATCCCCACCATGATCCAACAGCAGCCCCAGCCCCAACAACAGGTAGCTAAAATGAAGGCCACCTTTTAAAATTTGTTTTGTTGCCCTCTCATGACTGAGTGTCAAACTAAAATTGGCCTGACTCAAAACTTTTTTTACATTTCAGGATGGTATTTTTTTTTCTCTTTTACCGTCTTAACCTGTCAACAAATATATTGAAATTTTAAGGAAAAAAGATTTTCCCAGCTACCTACCGCCCCATAAATTTTAACCCGAGTCGGGAATGGGCATGCAAACAATATTTTAAAGATGGCCTTAGTGTGTTACAGGGCCAAAATGTGCTCAAAGTGGAATGCAGGGGTTGGATATTTAATTTTTTTCAATGCATTGGTAAAGATGTTTAAGCAAGTATAGACACAATATAAATAAAGAGAAAGGCCTTATTAGATGATAGTTTCACATGGCTGTCAAATTACTTACATACAGGGCTTCAGTTGCAATTTTATTTACAATTCTTGCTTCTTGGCAAAAAAATAGCATGTTAATTTTAAGACACCAAATACTACCTCTCACTATCAACAGTCTCTGAATTTTCAACATTATTGCAGTATAATTTTGTTTGTATAAGATCTAAGGTAGATGTACATTGTAAAAGCACAAATGACTACATCTATCAGTTAATATAATATAAAATGTGATAAGTCTATACATTTTAGATAAAGCAATGTTTATAACTAGAGTAATTGGAAAGGAATTTCTTATAGCAGAAGACACATCAGGTTTTACAGCTTGATGGTGCTGGAGACTCGAGTTCATCAGAAGATGAGGATTTTGATGATGACGACGATGACAATGACAATGACGATGATGTCAAAGAAGAAGACAATGATGAGCAGGGAGAAGAAGAGGTGGGCAATTGTTTGACAGCTGTGTTGAAATAATTCTTACAAGTTTTTATAAATTAATTAGCTGAACATGATTTCTTAAAATACAAAAGATTGTTTTGAAACAGTTTTCCTTGAAAATCAAGTCAGAATTTGGTAGACATAATGATATTAATCATGTGACTGCTTTTACCAGGAGCCCCTGAACTCTGATGATGATGTCAGTGACGAGGATCCTTCAGATCTGTTTGACACAGATAACGTGGTTGTGTGTCAGTATGACAAGGTATGGTTATCTTTATCTATTATGCAATATTGAAACATCTTTAGTGTACATGAGTAGTTCTGATCACTTGTTGTTCCAACTTTTTTATCTGCCTGTTGTTTGTAAACTTTTCAAATTTTCACCCGTTCAAAGAAATAAAAAAAAACCCTTATTCTTTCAAAAATAGTGAATTCAAGGTGGCAGTAATCAAAATTAACCTGTTAGGTCAGCTCAATATCTACAGTATTCTCAATTGTATAACATTATCTTCTTATTGCAACCTTGTTTTTGACAGATAAACAGAAATAAAAACAAATGGAAGTTTCATTTAAAGGACGGAATCATGAATCTCAATGGCAAGGACTTTGTCTTTCAAAAAGCAACGGGAGACGCAGAATGGTGACGTGTGTGTACAAATTCAAAGGGTTATATGGATTGTTTATTGACTTGACAACTCGTCAACATTGATTCTGAGGAAAGGGAGGAAAACACTGTGTGTGTTGTCTATTTTTATTCCCCAGAAGGAGGTGCTAGGTTTTTGGTAAGAAGAGGTGCAGGCGATGTAGTACTTCGTTCATTGGGTAAAGCAAACCCAGAAAGAGGAAAAATATAGAGAGTTTATAGAAGAAAAAAATGTTTGGAGCATTGTTGTAATGTACCAGCCCCCATATCCCAATCATTATCAGAAAGTCTTGTTTTTATGTCATTTTGTGTCCCTATATTTCATGTTTTCCAATTTGGACAATTGATTTGTTCCTATTCTGTGAGATACTCACTGATTCTGCAATACATGTACATGTAATCATAATTAATGCCCAGGTTAATATTGAAAAAAAAAAAATGAAAAGATTTTAATCTTATTTTTGTCAGGAAGTAATCTTGTGACCTGTGAGATACATGTAGATACATTTATTTCATTTTCCTTGTCAAGACTTTATTAATAAAATTAGTTAACCCTAGACACATATCATGGTATGTAAGAAAGGAGTTTTCATATATATATGCGGCTTGCCAGAGTAAAAAACACTTTTGTCTAATATAAGGGTTTTATATTTGGTCTAAAACTGATATTTATTGTTTAATCCAATATTCTTTGAGTTCTTTTAAAATATGAATGAATAGTTAATTTTCCAAAAATTATACCATTATTAGTTTTCAGGCAATATCCCAGTCAGGTTTTTTGTTTGTTTTCTTCTAATGTTTTGACTGTTTAGGTTGTTGGTATACAATAAATCAAGGCCTCGGTCCATGGTACGGGTTATTTTTCTTTGATTTTTCTTAAGATCTATCTTTTATTAGTAGAAAAAAATTATTAAAAGGGCATAAATTGTGGTAGACATTTTTATATGATGAAGACTTTTAAAAATATTTTGATTAAGTGTGAAACACCAGTAGTCAATCTTCCATATCACAAAAAGTTTTGAAATATTTTAATCATCATTATTTTGAACAGCAGTACTGTAAAGAGAAATGATTTTGTACAGTATATTCTTGCTTAGATTTTAGAGTCCCATACTCTTGAGCTTATTTTTCCAAAAAGTTTCTTGACACCATTCAATATTGTTGTAACTCAGATAATTTATCAAGTGAAAAATATTTTTTGATGTTTAGTAATTACATATGTCTGTTAACATGGTTAAAAGATATACTTTGCTAGTCATATACGGTACATTGTCTTGTCAGTGAATTTCCATGTCCATTGATGCATCTACGTCAATTTTTTTACTTGCCATTGCATGGTTGCTTTTTATACTCACTGAAGTGTAAACAATTAGTGAATAAGGAGCCAAAATTCTAACAATTATTAAATCTTATTTTTTCATGAACATAACAATCATTGACCAATGTTATTGAACCAAATTAATTAATTAAGCTATGAACTAAAAAAAATTACATTCATTATTTGCAAATGAAAGGTACATGTAGAAACCATGCTTTATGTGTTTTGCCTTCATTTTATGTTGGTAATGTAGTTTGTTTGAACTCATGCATGATAATTTTCAAAGGGATGGTTATATAGGACCCATAAGAAGGGAAGGAGGAGGAGGAGGAGGGGGGGGGGGGGGGTCAAGGCCCAGAGGGACCTTAGACCAATATAGTTGAATCTATAGTATGCATAATGTCCAGGGTCCTGTTTCAAAGTAGTATAGTAGAAGACATATTTAGAAATTATGGGTGCTTTGAAGTTAAAACAAAAAGTAAAACATATAAGATAAACTGCTATAATGGTTGTGAGGATGATCTCCATAATGTATTTACCGACTCGAATATCTTACTGTGAACCTCTACGATGCTAGAGAAGGAATTGAGTTATCTCAGATACTTGGTGTGAGATCAGTAAATTTATTTAGCCATTGGCTTGTCACAAAAATTCAGAGGAAATGATTGATATTCTAGTCAAGTTGTTGATGGATTTTTGGTATGCACCAAGTTTTTTAACCTGATAAATTGGATGTTAAGCATAACAAACATTTAGAAAGAGAACATACAATTGTAGTATTTTTGTAGGAGGTATTGAATGTCTTTGTATCAAAATGTAAAATAAATGTACACATAACATTTATTATGCTTGCGTCAGGCATACAGCAATACCTTTTAATGTCACATTTTTTATGGCATTTGTAAGTTTGCTTAATGTTAAATTCAGTCTTATATGAACGCTAGGTTAGTCAAAGAAAGACAACTCATCTAATGTTATGGTACATGGACAGAGTTGCTTTTGTCAATGATTTTAGTTTGATTAAGTTATTAAATTGTTGGAACAGCTTATGCTTTCTTTGTTTTCTTTTTTTGTATAAAAGTTGTTTGTTTGGTTTTTTTTTTGTCAATTTTGTAAACCTGGAAAAGGATCTGTTTTTGTAAGTTTCAATTTTGTCAAAATGAAAAAAATTGTAATAATCATGAACTAAAGATTTTTTTTACTTTTTTCAAGGTAATATTTTGATCAGCAGTACACATATGTACTAGTGCATTGTATTTGTGATCTTTTTCTTTAATAATCACAGAATCGATATGATCCATTGCAAATCTTGAGATTTTGTCTACCTTTAAATGTTGTTATTTTGTGTATGAGGTGGTAAAAATGTGGTACACGTGTTAGACATATCGTTGTTTTATAACCTACAAAGCATCATGTCGGGTACTTTACATGAATCTGGAACTTCCTTCAGTAATTATACCCCCGCTCCAAAGGAGAGGGAGTATACTGTACTTACCCTTATGTGTCTGTAACAAATTTTCGTCTTGGTTTCCTTTGCAACTACTTAAATTTTGGCACACTGTTTAGGCATGTCATATAGTTTTTGTTTGAATTGGATGTCAACTTCCTATTCATCTCTGCATCTGTCCACACTGTATTTCCTTCCCAGTTTTCTGTAACAGCAAATACTCACGGCAAAAGCTTGAAATTTCAGCACACTCTTTGTTTAGGCATGCATTACGATGGGATTTTTTTTTTATATGAATCAAATGTTAACTTCCTGTCTATCTGTCAGTACCAAGTTTTCATTCACATCAGAGCGGGGGCATTACTGATTTGCAATGACTCACAAACTTCCTGTTTGTTCAATTTCTCTCATCAAGATATGTACATGTACATGTATAAATGGCCAGATCATGTGGTGTACTGGTCGTGTACAATTTTTTTATGTTCATGCATTACATGTATGTGCCATAAGATTTGACCATTGAAAACTTGTGTCCAAAAACTGTACATGTCTACAGATACTGCTTGTTAGATGAGTATTATGATTTATATGATCTTTTGGTGCACCCTTGTTTCATTTGTATGTAACTTATTACTACAATAAAGAGTTTATATAAAAAAAGATATTGTTTCTCACGATGTTCAAGTTTCCTCAGAAAAAAAAGGGAAAAAAGCGAATTCATTGATTCCATCCCCCTCCAAAAACAGAGAAAAGCAAGTAAGACCTAAAAAAAAAAAACATGCAGATGGCGAAAGGGAGGAAATTGACCTTGATTTCTCATTTTTTTGCCTTAGCGTCAAGGGGTGTATCTTTTGATCAAAGAATTTCGTGACCTTGAGCTTGCAGAAAGTTTAAGATATCATCTGAAAACTGTGCAATTTATAAATTCCTGACATTGACCTTTAACCTAAAAATCGTAAAGATTCTACCTTAAGTCATAAGGTATTTTGGTCTAAACGTAGAGAGAACTCATATTATACATGTAGTACAATTCTCAGATAACCTTGGACTTTCAGTAAGGCGTGGTACTCTCGACGTTACATAATTGGCGTCAATAAATATACACAGCTTTTCATTCACTGTTGAAATATACATTCCGTCAAATGTCAACGAGTGTGTTGATGATCCAATCACAATATTTCGTACGACAGAGAGGTGGGGCTTAAGTCGTCTCATCGTTGTCAACAAAAATTTAAAGTTGCTTATGTTTTTTTAATTTCTTAGCCAATGAGAATCTGTTCGATCTTTGAGAAACGTTAATTATGTCGTGTCGATAAAGTCACGCGCAACTGAAAGTCCAAGGTTGATTGAGAATCGTACTATCATCAGACGATATGAATATTTGACCTTGACCCTTTGTCCTCCAAATCAATATGGATCCTTTTTCAGTCATCAGGATTAATGTAAATTATATAAAATTGATTTAAAAAGCTCACAGATATCATCTGGAATCCATTTTTTGTAATAATTGAAATTGTTATTAAAAAATATTTGAGGTCGTTTAAGGTCAGAAAGATAGATTGTATATTGTTTAACGTCCCTCTCGAAAAAAATTCAATCATATGGAGACGCCACCACTTGCCAGTGGAGAGCTGCAAATCCTACACTCGGCACTTAGGGCCATTGAGCAGGGGGGATCTTTTTCGTGCCAACACCTACTACGACACGGGACCTCGGTTTATACGGTCTCATCCGAAGGACCGGTCTTCATGTCCCACAGTGGGATTCGAACCCGCGACGTAAAGATCGACTCCTTACTTTGCGACTCTAGAGCAGACGCTCTAACCACTGCGCCACGCGGGCGACAAGGTCAGAACGATGTATGATATAAAATTTCATTGAAAAGGATTACAGAGAGCTGAGTTTCTATCTGAGAACCTAAAGTCCTTTTTTGGAAATATATTAATTGACCTAGACTTTTGACAAAAAATCAATAGGGATCGTCTTAAGAAAACTTGGGGCTTTATTAAGAGAAAGAAAACTAATGCAATCATCATGAAAACCATTTAATTTTTGCAATACATGTACATAATGAATTTCCAACCTTGATTTTTGTTCCAAAATCAATAGGGGTCCTTTTGATGCCATAGGGAGTTGTGATATACTCAGACAGAATGACAGACAAATTAAAAAAGAGATAAAAGGAGATATATTTTAGCTCACCTGAGCAGAAGGCTTAAGTGAGCTTTTCTGATCAAATTTTTTCCGTCGTCTGTCATTGTCGACTTTTTGTAAACTTTTCACAATATAATCTTCTCCAGAACTACTCTACCGATTTCAACCAAACTTAAGAGAGAGTATCCTTGGATGAAAGGGATTCAAGTTTGTTCTAATGAAGGACCTCGCCCTCCTCCAAGGGAAGATAATTGCGAATTAATTAATGGCATCATTGAAAAAAAAAAATGAAGAACCAATGGGCCAGGAAAGATCAATCTCATCCAGAATCATATCATGACCCTCAGTGTAGGAGGGGATCCCAATTGATGATCAAATATATAACTACTGAATTAATGTTCCCCTTAGATTTAAAAAAATCCTGTCGTTCCCCTGTCAGACCCTGACATTTTCATGTCGCTCCCTGACTTTCACATATGATCCCCTGTTGTCCCTGATTGGTCATATTTTTTTATATAGAAGCATCCTGAGGTGGGTGTAGATTCAAGGTTTTTTTTTTTCAATTAAATCATGATCACCGTGTGTACGGTAGGGCCATAATGGACGATCAAATTACATGTATATAGGAAAAAAATATCTTCTTGACAAGAACAACAAAATTACAAAGCAATGGATGGCCATATTTATGTTGAAGTATCCTCTGTTAGTGTACGTAGATTCAAGTTTGTTCAGATCATGACCCCCAGGGATCAGGGGTGGGGTCATGAAAGTTCAAACTTGTAGGAAAAAATCACAGTCGAAATAAATATGTAAGCGTCCATAGTTGGTGTAGATTCAATTTTGTTCATATCATCCCCCTCTGTTTTAAGGGTATATTGGGAAGTAAGCATTTAAACTTTTTAATACCATACTGATTTTTGCTTTTTTTCCCCTACCACAGTGCTCAGGTGAGCGATGCTGTCCCTACACCTCTTGTTAAATCCGGTCCTTTTAATTTTTGCCACAAATATAATACGACGCTTTGTATAAATATTTAATAATTCAAAACATTCAATAAATAAAACATGTTTAAGGTAAATGCAACAACAGTTTTCTTGGGTCAAACACAAATTTATGATTCTCCATTCGCAATGATCCCCTGACCTTCATCGACATCAATATGAAATATGTTAATTATTCCATGTAATGATTTATAATTATATGAATAAATTTTTATCAACAAATAATGTGTAGCCACAGACTTTTTAAAATCAAATTTTTCATACCTTATTGCCTAGTGACCTTCACCTTTGAGAGGTGACCTTGAGTCAAGGACATGGCACACATTTATCTTATCGGCAACAACAAATAAAGTTATGACCCACAAATAGAAGAAATAGTAACGATAGGTCATTATGTCTTCAATAGAAGGCTGCAATTAGCATGACATCAGTGTGTCTGTCTGTTCAGTGTTCAATCACAGGATCGGGTGGGGACCATAGCTTTCACACCTTTGATTGGAATGTATTTAAACGTAGTGTGTTGTCCTGAATATAAGCAATGTCATTCATGCATCTCAAAGGTCAAGGTCACTTGGTAACTATTTATCTTAAACACCATTCAGTGTATCATAATTACATATTGAGTAATTTAAAGATAGTTGCACAAGGAGAAATATACTTGTATTTTTCATGCTTCAACTTTTTGTATGTATGTCATTACCAATTAATGTATGTATATGCAAGAGGATAAAACACAAAATATGCCCATATATACTCAAAAAATCCAGAAATAGGTGCTGATTGTGTCAGAATCCAACAAATTGGATGTCTGTTTTGCCAACTATCTATGTTCGACTCCATTATATAAAGTGCTCTTTTCATCGTATTGACTAACGGTACTGACAATCGAGGATTTTCGGGATAAATGATCGTCTGCTTTTATTACGCTGGAAGGATTTCCAGCAACAAGCGATTTATAACAGTCTAAATACTTTGAAGTTTCTACAGAAACATTGTCGCTGGAATGTCCAGCATTAAGGTCTTCATTGGATGATACACACTCTGCTTTATTTGAATCAATCTCAAGATTTTGGGATTGAGATTTTTGAATACAGTTAGGTTTTGTTTCTGGATGAGTGTGCTGGTTGCCTTCGGGGAGGGATTCTTGGGAACAGGATTGATCCTGATCCTGAAATCCTATTGCTGTACTAGCTAAAGAATCATCCTCTTCTTGTAAAAGGTCTGCATTATTGCACATATCATAAAACTGCAGCGAATCTAATTTTCGCTCCGTTTGGTTTTCACTAGAAATGGAATTTGAAAAAGAACGCTGCATTTTCCACAACATTCTTATATTTCTTTCTTTGACTGGTGAATTTTGTTCAATGACGTTCAGTTCATGACTACTTGGTTCATTGGAGACGCCATTTTCTTTAATGGTGACGTCAGTACTGTGCGTTAAATTGTTACTGGCAGGATGAATGACGGAATGTACAGCTAAACTGTTCTTTCTAGAATGCGTCAATGTTTTGGAATTGGTAACCGTTCCTTTGCACCGATTTGCTCTCTCCGTACAAATCCCATATTTTGCAAGCAACAAAATGGTATCCTTCCGGAATTGCTTAGTAATTATGACGTATAAATATGGATTCGCACACGAATTCAAAGGGTAGAAGAAAACGAGGAGGATTTTAGAATTAGACACGTCTATAAGTGGCCAGCCGGCTGCTGCGGTTATTCCGAAAAATGCAATGGGTGCCCAACAGATGAAGTTCGTGAAAATAAGTGTTGCCATTCGTTTGGCAATTCTGGTGTCGGAACTATGTAAAGTAGAGTCATTTCCTCGAACACGACAATACATATTGATATAACACATACAAATAACGATAAAAGCTAAACCATTCAAGACCAGCAGAGAAATGACGTAAACAACGTCTCCTGTTTTGGTGATATCCATAGGTAAACAGACGCTGACGTTACCGTATCCATTGATGCCAACTAACGGCAAGACCGCCATAAGTACAGCGTATAGCCAGCCCAGCCGCCATTACGACACACGACTGTCGAAGCTTTAACCGTTTTGTAAGGTGCATGGCATGACTGATGGCATACCATCTCTCTAGTGTTATAACAGTTAAAGCAAAGATCGACAGCTCTGACGAAAACACAGTTAAAAACCCTGCTGCTTGGCACCCTCCCTCATTTTGCCAAGCTATTGCGAAGTTAAAGTATTCGCCGAGAGTATGGATATCAATGGCTGCCAAAAGTAAGAGATAAACTCCCATGAGGAAATCTGCAAACGCTAAATTACACATAAGGAATTTGGTGACGGTCATTTTCTTATGATTGGATAGTAGAACAACTAAAACGATGATATTGCCAATAAGTGTAGCCCAGACAACCAGCCAGACAAATATGCGAAGCCATTCGGAACCCATCACATCTTCGCAAGGATTGAAAGCATCCGGTACGGGGGTACATTCTACTTTTCGGTGCATGAAAACAACCTCTCCACATAACACTTGTGACTGATACCCCGTAGAATTGGTCGGTATAGTGAAAGTTACAAAACTTCCTCCCTGAGTCGGTCTGTCTATCGTGTTTTCTCCAATCTCTGATGAATTCACGATATTTCCAAATCCATTTCCATTACCAATACCACCATCCCCAAAACTCGACCATTTTCGAACAGACTCGTTTTGCAAGATATAAGGAATGTTTTGATTGGCCAATTCATCGACGTAAAGGCCTCGTTTTGATCTTCTCCTAGTCGACTTTTGTCGAGGGAATTTTCCAAAAGGACTGGGAGTTGTTGATGTTCCTGCAGCGAAGGGACTTGTTGTTCTGGCGCACTCGGCCTCTACTCGTCGCCGGAAGTCATCCCATTCGGCCGGATATTGTTTTTCTGGATTTTTAAATGCGCAGCAGTGGTGTGGATATGTTAACTTTGCTCGAATTAACTTGTTAAATCGAACAACGGCTGGGAATGATTTTAGCGTTTTTGTTTCGCGAATGACAAGTGTTTCTATGTTCGTCAGACCATTGGTGGGAAGTTTCTTGATTGCAGTATTAGAAAGGTCTCTGTAATTCAAAAAAAAAAGATCATATTGTAAAAACATTTGTTTACGAATGAAAAATAATTTTTCAAATTTTTCAATATATATACGTACAAATGCTTCAGTCCGCTAATTCCTTGAAAAGCGTTATCCTCCAAAACGGTGAGACGTATATTGTCTAGAAGATCTCTACAAAAAATTTTAATGAAAATATCGGTAATTTTATATTACTATTTATAGTAACATCCAATAACTCATTATCACACAGACAAGAAACTTACAATTTATATATGCTTGCATTAAAGAAAGCGCCATTGCGAATGGAACCAAGTTTGCTTCCTTTCAGACGGCTGCAAGAAAAAAAACAGGAAGTGGTTCATGTGTTAGAAATGATATGATTGCTTTGGCTCTTCCCTAGAAAGAACCTATATCATGAGAGCTATAAGAATATAGTGATTATTGATAAACTGTTTTATGATAAATTTAAGCATTGAATTATAATTTACAATGTATTACAAACTTCCTTTTAAACTTGGTTTGGGTGATACTTAGAAGAACCGATTTATTAAGCGTGAATCAACATTGACAACATAAATGAAAAAGTTCAAATGATGCAAATGATACATAAATGTGATTATAACAATTGTGTGGTTACCTCTGCTAAATGTAATAACTTTTTAAATTTTATACAGTATTCTATATTGTTACGTACGTGTATACCAGGTCTTTAGAAACTTAGTGTGATAACTGGTTGGATAATTGTGTTCTTCATACTTCTGGTTACTTCATTGAGATTTCATGTAAATGGTGTTTTGGGGCTATTTTACTACAAGAGCTTATTCAATTTACACAATGCTCAGGCTAATTTAGTGAGGAAAATGGGTTAACATGAACGATTCAGAATTTACAAGACAGTTGAAAATCGATTCTAAGAGAACGGGTGTGAAGAGATTTTTCAAATCGGTCGACTTTCTTAAAAACGAAGTCATGCGATATTTGCTTGCATGCTTCTTTCTTTTTCAATTTTCATTGTAACACTTGTGGATTTATTTAGAATGCTTTAGATAATGAAAATTGAAAAAAAGGACAAACTAATTTCGCGTGACTCTGTATTTATGAATAAACAGATAAGTAGACTTACAGTTCAAGTGTTTTGACGCCAGAAAAACTGTTTTCTCTAATTTCTGTGATTTGGCTGTTTTCGCGTATCACACTGGCGAAAAAAAAATAAATATAATTGGAATTTCATGAAACAAAGACAAGCAGAAAGATTAAATAATTTCAATCGATCAAATAAAATTCAGTTTGTGAACTCTTTCTGGGTGTTTATTAATTATGTATTTAAAAAATCTATAATTCTAAGAGAGTAGCCTGAATCCGTTGACTTAAAATTAATTTGCTTACATTCGTTCCAGCCAACCTGATCCGTACCGTGTTGAAAATGCACTGAAATCTGGAATAGCGGCGATTCCATTTCTGAACATATCTCTGCCACGAAGAAAGGAAAACAAAGTGATTTTTTAAAAAAAAATTTGAAACCGAAAATTTCATACTATTGAGTTTGAAGAAAAAGTAATAAAATAAATGCATATTTTTAAAAACCACCACTGTATTTAATATTTTAAAATAAAAGAGGGGAATGGCTAGATATCCAATAAGTTATACATTTCTTGTTCTAGTTGAAATTACTTTTTTTTATCTTAACGTACAGTGTTTCCAGAGATTGGAATTGGGTAAAAACACCGGGGCCGATATTCTGTAACTTCTCACATCCTCCAATCGTTCTGAAAAAAAATTATTATTCAAGTCAAAAAGAAAAATACATCTTTAAGTTAACTAAATATATAAAGATATTCTATACACAGAAAGAAACTTGACAAAGTCAAGAATGGCATCTCTTGCAAGGAACATGGCTAAGTTACCATACCATATTTGTAAATCAAGAAAACTACTAGTATTTGTTTCGAAACTAAATTCAGCTAAAAAAAATATGAAAATCGTATCTGTATTTTGTTTTCCTTTTCAAAAGAAAAGCTGCAAAATTAAGCATTCAGACTTCTATAACACATTATTCGACCTGATTTTGTTAGAAGATCAAGGTGTCTTGGTCGTAAGACATTGGTCTTTTTCTTGAAGTTAACATTTGCCAAACATTTTTTTTTCAATAATGACATAGGTACTAGTATTGAAAAAGAGCAAATATAAAAAAGATTTCAATAATTTTTCATTTACCTTTTAGCGAATTTTTTTATGGTCCAATGCCACGAAACATGTAAATTTAAAAAAAAATGTCTAGATTTTAGAGCTTTGTTGCATTTGGTAGCAACTAGTTTGTTGTCAGTCGATTGTATTAGAAAGTTGTAAATAATATGGTTGTATGCTTCCGCAACAGCTTAAATTAAAAAGCCAAAATAAAATATACATGTAGTATACAGTTATTGTATTGTGCATACATGTATATCATAAACACATGTAACTGAACATATGAAAGATTCTTTACTATGAAAATACAAAAGTAAAGTCAAAATGGAACGAAAGGTTCCGTTGATGCATGATCTAATTATGGCATATAGTGGGTAATTTATGATTAGCAAACAGCAGAAGTAAACCGTTTGTTTATCAAATTTTTATCACAGAACTCTCGGAGGACGCTTGATCTGTCAATTGTGATTGTTTTTGATGACTTTTGGCCCTCAAGTCACTAGAAGCTAATTAAGTCTTGATCTGATAGAATTCGAAAGCAGTATGTTCTTGAAAATTAATTATGGTCATTGCTTTACAATTCACAGAATAATTTTGATTTTTTTTTGAGAGGGGGTGTCAATAAACATGTAATGATGTAATTTAGAAGAAGTTTTAATGTAAAATTTTGAAACTCTAAAAATTATAATTTGGAACAATGTAGTCCGAAATAAGAACAAAGTTGCAAGTTTAAGTTTATTCAATTTAGGTCTATGGTTTAAGATACTTTTTAGAACATATGGTCTTCATTTGTTTCTTTCTTCGTCTTTTCTTCGATTGTACTAATACAGGTATCAGAATTTACTGCATTGGATTTCCAATTTCTCTACCGTTTCCTCCATCAAAGATCCCCCAAATTACGTTATCACATTTAGCTTTCTGATTTGGATGCCTCTTTTTCCGGTCATTTAATATCTATCATATATCTAATTGCTCGTCATCCATTTGTCTCAATGAGGAATAATCCAAGTGCAAGAAAATTGCATTACCAAGAACCCAGAGATCAACTTGTACTCCTATCTTAATGGCCGTATCGATGAAATACCAATCACACAATTAAGAGACACGGTGCAAACTACATGAATGACAGTAGCTAATGGCATTATGTAAATTCTTGTAATCTTTATTGGACTAAAAGATCAATTGTATGATATACCAAACTGACCATTCATCTCTAGAAACAGGTTAATTTGACACTAAAGTGCATGGAATTCGGTTCCAAGCAAGAGAAACATTTGGAATCACGTATCGTCTTCTTCTATTTTTCATTTTATCAATAGTATATACATCTTTATGAAAGAAGATGTGCCAATGTTTTTGTAACGTATATATACACGAAGATAAACAGAATTTTAATTATTGAAGTTCTTTAATTTGAAGCTCAAAAACGAATTAATTTAAAATATAAATTCTCAAGTCGCCTAAGCGAAAATGATTTTCAAAATTTCTTGGAATGCTCTGCAATCTCATTTATTTATTTTTTTTTTCAGTAGAAAATATTAAAAAAGAAAGAAAACAAAAAAGAAAATGAACTGCCTGTAGTTTTCTTCTTTCTCCAGGACTTGGTTCTTATTGATTTAAACCGTTCTTTTTTCTTCTTCTTTTCCTTTCAACCCTTTTGAATCCTCAAACTAATAGCATGGTATCTTAATGTGGAAGTCTTATAATTTAAAACAAGGCACTCTCTCACTTCAAGACTTTTAGTCTTGGAGTTCCAGTTCCTGCAATCATCTAATGATATTTCCAATGGAGATTTGTCTGCTACTGACGGTTCGTTAGAGCGTTTTGATCGACACAAAGCGTTAGATATGGCTTACATAAGGTCATTTAGAAATGATTAAAGGATTAAACGGGCATACAAGCAAGTTAAACAAAGAGCATCTTTTGTTTTCTTGTAAAATCAACATTCAATTACCCTTTGTCATAGGATAGAGTACTGAAAATTAAACAAATCTAATTGAGACATGTATTTAAATCCCCCTTCACAATTTCCCCATCAAAGAACTAAATTGTTTTGAAATATTCAAGTTTTTTCGTGTGTTTAGGTTGCAAGATCATTTGATGAAGTTCAGACTAAGAAAAATGCTGACAATTGAAAATTAGAACAGATCTTTTTTTTACAGGATCAAATTACTCTTTCAAATGACGATCGTATGTTAGTTGGAAACTTTTTGCGTAAGACTATCAAAATATTTTACCTACAAAACCCGAAATACATTTTTTGATCTTAACTTCATCGTATTTATATAATAAATATCGATATGGTACGGTATACAATTTTTTTTTCTTGTAAATTGATTTTTTAAAAAATATCGCCTTTTAAAATTTTTTTTATGAAATAATCCCCCTTTTTTTGCTCATACAACTTGCAATGATGCTCCATTGCCAGAAATACAATTATGAATGCAATTGATTTAAAGCATGCCTTACGGGGCAAAAGACAGAAATGGTCTTTAAACATAATGATGACAATTTTAAAAAGGAATTATAATAGTTATTTAAACCAGTGAGAGTTGTCTCTCTTATCAGATGGTCAATGGGCCTTAAGATATCCTCGGCTGTGACACTCTGATAGTTGTCAAACCTATTGACACAAGGAGTTTACTTATAAAATCCTCGATATTCTAGCATGTTGAGCTCTCTTTGATACCCCAAATCCAGATATTTTTCACCAGATGCCAGATTTATTGAATTAATAACTATTTGTCTCAGTAGCTACAAACAATGCCTAAATTCAATTATCAGGCATTCCCAAGGTTAAACTAGCAACAGTTGATATGATTGTGTTAAAATTCAATTAAGGCTCCGAAACTCGGAAAGAGTATTGAGAAATTGTCGACGAATTGTGACAAATTTACATCTGAAATGCCACGCCAATGTCACGAATATAGCAATGTCATTGACAATAAAAATCTAACATACTGGATTCAGATATTCTGATTCATAGACTCTGTGGCCGGGGGAAATGTTCTGATATTGGAGTTGGGTGGTTTTTTGTTCTCGATATTATTTGCAAGTGTATATAGTCTGAAAGAATTTCCTGGTATTGTAAGATGCGGGATCAGTTACATCTGTTGTCGTTCAGTTAGAATTTACTTAAAGTTTGATTTTGCATGAATCGATATGAATGAAAGGTCAACATTCAAGCTTACAAGACAAGATTCATAACAAAATCACTTTTCCCAGTAAACTGGACACAATACATGTTTTTCTCACGAAATGATTCGCCAAAAAGTCTTATTTTCAGAAACTGACCTAAATACAGTGGCGCCTCATTAATACGGACGGTCCGTTCCGGATAGATTAATCTGGATTATATGATACTTTTGATTAATCTAAATATAGCCTTTAGAATTCCACAAATTATGACACTTGATAAATTCAAACATGTAATATGAATAACGAAACTTATTTTTCACATAGACATAAAGTCTAGCTTTTGTGATGTAATTTTTTTATTCATGAGCATTATCTCCCCTTTTTCAGTGCAAAACTATTCATTGACTCAAATAAATCATGAGATCTTTCGTACAAAAAATTTTCAAGGCTCTGAGTCGATATTTACTGTATATACAGCGTTTGGTACACAGGCATGCTGTTCTACATTACATGTCCGACATTTATCGGAGATCTTACAAAGTTATAAATGAGCAATGTAATCTCTGAGGTGATACCATGTGTTCTTTGCCTGGAACTGCTATACAGTCTCAAAAGATGATGAAAAATAGGGGGGAAAATCTTTTTAAAAAATATTTATCAATCAAAATATTTCAGTCTTTCCAGAAAAAGAGTCAACATTTTTTTTAAATTTATCGCACTGAAAATGCAGTTGCAAAAATATTAGCGCACTTTTTAATTAAATTCAAAAAAAAAAAATATTATAACGTACTTGTACCACTGAAAAATGTCACAAAATCGTTTATTGTTCTGTACGCAATTCGAAATGAGATACTAGCAGTAATTGCTTTAATGCGTGTGCATTGGACAAATATATTCATAGAGCAAGACCATGCAATGTAAGATTTTAAGACTGCGTATTACTTCTCTCATTTTAGAATCTAGGCCAGATCAGTTTTATGAATGGTACTTTTGAAATTACTAATCGGAAAAAACTATAAAAATAATGGAATTGATTATTGAATGCAGTCATAATCAGACTTTGTTTATATTCGTAATCCATCAAAATCCTGAATAAATATTACTCCATTATCAAAAATGGTCACTAGTCTTTAAAAAACAATAATTTGCAAATCGTGTATGACGCAGAAATGCATTTTCTGTTGAAGTGCGTTTACAGATAACGTTTGGCTGCTGGGTTAGCATTTGGGCAAATGTGGAACCTTGATTCATGATTTTATAATTTCATACAATTTAAAAACAAATTTTCACAAGAATATACATTGTATGTACTGCGAATGAATAGACTGAATCAGTATTTTGAATTTAGAGTTGGGTTGGGGGAATTAACAATTTTTAGTTCAATTGTTCGAAGATTTTACATAATTGCTTTCGGAAATAAGCCAAAGCAAAACATAACACAACAATACAGTTTTATGTTGGTCTTTTTTTACACAAAGATATAAATTAAGCACATGCATGTAAATTTCGCAGATTTACACTAAATCTGACCTTTACATTCAACTTTTTTTTTGTTTATCATTGTAAATAAATTACAGTGAAGATGAGAAACACGTATTATTTTGTCATACCAGGGGTATTGTAAATTTTGAATTTACTGCCACCCGGTAATTAAAAAATTTAAAACATGACAATTTCAAAGTACCGAGAAATTGGAATTATAAAATGTACCTAAATTAGTAAAGAAAAGACTCACATTGATTTCAAGTGGTACAGGCCATTAAATGCCCCCGCTTCTATGGTTTCTAACTGACATGGTACATCACGGTCTGTAAAACTTCTGCGAAAAGAATTTTTTAAAAAATTAATGACTATAGTCCAGTTCTTTATAGATATTTTGCCCGGTTTTTCACTTATTATAATCAGTATTTGAATGAGACTATGCACAATATGTGATGACCTCTAGCTGTTGCTACACATGAATGACAGTATATAACAATATGCAATGATTCACTATATAATGCAGTGCTCCCTTCTAGATGTAACATCCTAACATCAGTAAGATTTAGTCAAAATTTCGTGTCTATTTTAATGAATTCTTTTAAATAAGTTCGATTATTCAACTTTACAAATTTTACCGGTCTATAGAGCTACGGTGTCTTCAGAGAATTCTACCTTTACTTTTATTTTCCTTGCACCATCTACAAATTGCTATGTCCTGAGGACAGGACAGGACAGGAACAATCGCTTAAAAGTGAGTACAAATAATCTCTCTCTCTATCTCTCTATCTGATAAATGAATCTTATCTTTATAACAAATCAGTCTACACTGGTCTCTATAAAGGTTGTACTCCATTTTTGGATAATGTTACTTCTCAATACCATAATTTTTCCCTCTCGCTTCCAGTTCCGACATTTTCCCCTGTGTGATCTATCTAACTGATATTGCACATTATGTGTAGCCTAGGGCATAGATTCTCTTGTGAACTATATATGTTTTCATCAGAATTCTGAATGATGAACTCCAATGTCTGCAAGTGTTTCACTTGCAATGAAACATAATACTTTCTGTAATCAACTCGACATCTTCAAGTACAAACGTATGTTTTGGTATTCGGGAAAATAAAAAAAATGAATTTGAACTACCTAAGAATACTTGAATATTGTTAATTCTCAACATTTCCCTCATAGAAGATTTTTAAAAAGATATTTCATCATATTGTCCCGTGCTTGATCCAGTGGCGGATCCAGGGATCTTGAAAAGGGGGTGGTGGGCACCAGTTTGATTTCGGGGAAGTGGCCCACACACATGCCCATGCAGTGTGACCCAACATACCCCGGCCCCCCTGCACAACCCCTTCTGCAGCTTTGGTTTGAAGAAATTTAAATCGAGTCAAAAGATATGATTGCAATGAAGACAATGAGATGAAAACATAAGCAACGATAAATTAATATTTACTATTTTATCTACAACTTACAGAAAACGAATATTCGGATATTTTCTAAAGGCATTCTTCTGTAGTATCTTTATACCAGTTCCGATGAACGACCTGAAAAAAAATCCATAAATCAAGCCCACTTTAATTTCATTGAGAGAAAGTTGAAATATACATGTATAACTATATGGCTTCGCTTGCAAAGTATGGTACTGAAGTTTGTACTGAAACTCCCTTTGCATGTAAGCATCTTTTAATTGAGCAAGAATTCGAAAAAATCAGGGGGGGAAAACAAATCAAGAGTTGAATAATACAAGGCAGAGATGTAAATTTATACCATTAAATGATCAACTGGTGTCAAACAACCCAGACTTTATGGTTTTTAGTTATTTTTAGACGACTGCTGGTACAAATGTCGTAGAGGTTAGTTTGTTGTTTGGCGCTAGACTTCCTGTTGAATTCACGGTTTTATGAGCATTTTATGAACTTAAATGTTACGCCATTGAATGTTCTTTTCGAGATAAAGTACAACACAACTTGTCATTTTGTTCTGACTTTCAAGTTATTTTTGTCGTTTAAAAGTGAGTTATTTCAATTTGGCTCGGTTTGGAATTTGTTTCGACCTGCTCTTGACCCTTGACCCTTGGCTTCCATCAGGTGTCATGTATGTCTTATTTTAGTAAGTAAATATGGCTTTAATAATGTTATCATCTAGAACCCCTGTTTTAGAATAACGCTGTATCGTACATGTAATAAAATGGCAATCTTTAAAATACTAGTAGTTGTCAGGTCAATTTGAAAATTTATCTTGTTCTTTAAGCCATTGACCTAAAAATCAATATTCTTTCTAGCTACTGCCCTTATTTGAAATATTAATGCTCTTTTATTTATGATTCGGGGTACATAGATTTTGTTCTGTCCGTCCGTCTGTCTATCTGTTCGCAAAAACTAAAACCTTGCCAGCAACTTCTGAGTGCATGATTTTCATTTTCACATGTATATCATATTCCTTGTAACAAGACCTTTCTTTGAATTCCACAAGTGACCTACTGAGCTTGGCCTGGGGGCTTGACCCTCTTTTGCAAACAATTACCAATTGAAACTATAAACTTGGCCATAACCTTTGAACAGTTGATGCTATACTATAATATTATACTTTCATGTAAATTAGTTGAATCTGATTGGCCGAGAAACATTTGCTAAAAAACACTACTACCCGCTGAATAATGAAGCCACGCCCTCCAGCGTAGCAACAGTCAACATTGCTTGACGACGGGTGGTATTCCAAAAAAATAGTGACTGCGCAGAATTTATGCGCGCACGGTTCACTGTTATATGTATTTGTATAAAACATTCAGTATAATATAATAAATATTGCATGTAGTTGAGTGTAACATTGAAAATTTTCACCTCGGTTCATGCCTCGGTTGACAATGGTTTTCTTGGGGTGAAAATTACACTCAACTACATGCAATATTTATATAATGGTTTTTCTTACTTCACACGTTTATTAATGTGACGAAAACTTTGGCCATTACTTTTGAACTAGAATGAAAAGATTAAAATTTGACTACTAGTATATAAATGTAAGAAAACTAATTATACTAGTTTAAAATGAAAATTATTTTTGCAAAAACTATAATAAAACTTATTTTCCAAAAACTATAAGGAACCTACATGCATCCTCAAATAACAATACAACATACCGTTCCACTTAAAAATTAATCTACTTTCAAGAAAAAAAAATCTCAGACGAAACCTCCGGTTATGGAGAAATCACTTTGTAATGGAAGAAACCTTATAAAATTCGCGTTTCTCGCGCTCTAACAAGAAAGAGAATCAAACGAATGCCTATTTCCCCAGAAACAATATCTAAAGGCATTGTCAGAAGAACTTGCTACCTGTCGCGGCATTGTCGCCAGAGACAACAAAATCTCGAAGTTTTACTTAAAAATATAATGAATTTCTTTGATATCCACATGAAGGATTTCTTTTGTCGCGTGGAATTACTCCTCTGGGATTCATTTGGAATAGGAGATTGGTATATTTCTTCTTCATTTTTTGTTGATATAATTATTTTATTGCTTTCAACGTGATTTCTATTAAAGATTGGTCATTTTGGTGCTGTTTGTCTGCTGGTACGGTCGATTTTTTTTCTTACGGGGTGACATTAATTCAGATACATTTATACATGTACCCTGTGAAGTGAAGTAAAAGTTTATTTTAGTTTTAAAATTTGTTGCCAGTTTTGACTTATACCTGAGTTAGAGGATGTCACTCTCTCTGATGTATAATACAATTTCTAGGTTTTAATTTTTTTGTTGCGATTTTGAACGTCTTGCTCACTCTGTGTTGGAAATCAAAAGCAAAAATATAATTTATTGGTGTAATATGCTGTGCGTTAACTATAAAATATAGGCTGTTTATATAGGAAACATTTTAACAGAAGTATAATATTGGTGTAATATCCCACAGTGGCTGTTACATTTCTAATATTTGATTGGTATATAACACATACACCGTTCAAAAGTGATTTTTTTTTCAATTCACATGTATTTTAATTTTTTTGAAGAGGCTTTGCACTCCAGCTGTTTATTCAATACGCCTAAAAATTGCTTTGTGTTTAATATAAAGAGTGGGCAAAGGTCTATTCATCTCACCCTTCTTCTTCCCTTCTCTCATTTGCTTATATATCATATCTTCTCACTCCTGCACCTACATCCCCCTTCACTCCTCCTCTCCATTTTCTACCATATTTTTTACCACCCCATTACCCCTCCCCCTAACTTCCTCCAACTAATATGCACTCTATTAAATCAAAAGTTTCATATACACCTACACTGAAGTTGATTTTTATTTCATATCTTGAAATTTGCTGATATAACTACTACTAACTTTTAACTGCTTTGGGTCGTTATATACCGTACAGACAAGGTGTTTGAAGAGTCGGAGCAAATGCAACAGCTGTTCCATAAGGAAATTCATAAAAAAAAGGACATTTTATATAACATCTAGATGCTTTTTATCAAATATCTAATTAATAAAGCAGGTTTTGATTTGTTGAGCATATGGGGAAAATGATTATTTTTCATTTTATTACATTAAGCATCGTTTGGTGACCAAGATAATGTGCATCAAATTGTATTTTATCAAGTTTCTGTTTCCAGACAATGACGTGTTTTTCCGGCGTTGCCAGGTCAAAATGAATCTAAAACAACATGGAAACACCTGTATCAATTTTGTTTTTCTCTTATTCTCTTTCAATAATCAAAAAAAAAACTTTCAGTTTTCAAATCTCTGACATCACACCGGACTTGCATTGTTTATTTGTTTACAAATACATGTAATAATAAATGCAAATTTTTGAAAATTATTAAAGGGTGGTGGCGAACAGAAGGAGGAGGGGGGGGGGGTTAGAAATTTTACCTGAGATTGTCGAGGGTGTTTAAGGTTACATATTCAATTCCTGCCACAGTTAGCAACACAATGCTCTACTTTTAACTGACACAGATAAAAAAAAACAGATAAAATAAAGTTAAAGGAAAAATCCTTTGATTTTCTCTGGTGCAAACCTAGGCACAAATTGCAAATTCTGCATTCGATTCTCATCAAGCCATAAAAAGATGAGATTTTGCCCATGCAATTATTCTAATGTAAACTGTATGCATTTAAGACAAATTGGAAGACCAGAATATAAAACATCAATGCCCGATTCAAAGTAAACACTTTTTTTCTCCAAGGCATTTTATTCCCTGTTTTGCGTATGGCTTCCCCATTATTGTGCACAAGAATAGACAAAAGAAAATTTATAAAGGAAAAACATAACTCTACTGCATTTTTAAAAGTAGCTAATGGAACAAATGTGATTTCGTTAATCCATTTAAATAGAATTTAATTGCAGGCATTTTGAGTTCCTCCTACATACCGGTATGTCTTTTTGTATCGTTTTATTGAGCAGCCAGCATTAACTTTTGTGATCAGTTTTTTCAGCAGAAATACAGTCTACAAACTTTGCTCTGCTGACAGTAGAGTTCCGGTTTACCCATAATGCATTGCACAGTAGGTCCTACTGCACTGTATTCACATATTCATGTCACGTGCTTCCCACATTCGACTTTATGTCCGTAAAGCGGAATCAAGTGTTGGAGCATTATGGGTAGACAAGAACTAAAAAATCAGCATAACGAGTTATAAGGCTGCTTGTTTGTTTGTTTATTTATTTGTTTATATTGTTTAACGTCCCTCTCGAGAATTTTTCACTCACATGAGGACGCCACCACCACTTTCCGTTGGAGGGCAGCAAATGTATACCTATAATCTCCCCCTCAGAGCCATTGAGCAGAGAGGAATCTTTTCGTGCAAAAACCTATTACAACGAGGGACCTCAGTTTATACGATCTCATCTGAAGGACATATCTGTACTTCCCGCAGTTGATTCGAACCCGCGACGTAAGGATCAACTCCTTACTCCGCTACTCAAAAGCAGACACTGTAACCACTGTGCCACGCGGGTGACTGGAACTATATGAAAGACACATACAGTCTCTTTTGATTCTTCCTGTAAACTCTATGTTTTATTTTCACGTTATCTTTGCCCGATAATAAGGCCAGTCATTTTAACCATTAAAAAAAAACTTGTAGGATGCTTTCAACTGAAAAAAATTGAAACATTTGATACATTTTGAATGTAAAATTTCAAAAGATTTTGTATATTTAAAGAAAACAATGAACATAAAGAATTAGAAAATGATATCGCAATGAATGAATTTTGTCGGTTTCTTTTCTTTTTAAAATTTCAATATAAAAGTGTTCGCAAAAATAGTTGTGAAATTTATAACAGCAGTTTATGAAAAGTACATTGTAGTATATATCTTGTTGGGCAATCAACACATGTAAAACTTTTTTGTAAAACAACGATATGTGTTTGTTCACACGTCTTAGAAGTAAAAATTCTACGCAAGTGCTCGATCACGCGATGGGTTGGTGATCTATTTGACTGGGTCCCATTAGTTGGTCACTCTTTCCATCATAATACATCACGCTAATTTCTTTCTCATCATCAAGGCAGAATCTCCCAGACGAGATGTTTACGAGAAATGAAAATAAGTCCATAACTTGGTATACGTGAAAATCCGGCTTCATGTGTATTCTTCATATTCTAGTCAAAACTTATGGTGATTGTTATTCGATTCTAATTTTCCTAAAATCGTTGAAAAATAAAATCACAAACGGGTCATTGATATGTTATATTCTGATTAATCATGATGTCCCCCTTGTGTGTTTTAAGACTGGCCCATAAAACATACAAATGATGAAAGCTCTTATGGCGTGATCAAATAGTAGAAATAACAGGATGCCGAACTAATTCTTTGGAACGCTTTTAGAGATGCAACATAAAAGCCGTTATGGGACAGGAGGAATACAAACGAGATTGTCAAGTCTAAAGTAAATTAAAGTTTGGCACATTATTTCTGCTCCATTCTCGACTGACCCGATATTTTGCGACAATTGAGCGATAAAAGATCCCACACTCTGCATAACAATGTCCAGACGGGAAACCATTTGTTCTAAATAACAAGAGGCCCGTGGAATAAAACAGTCACCCGAGTTTGCATACAGCAACATTACTTATTTAGAGACATGCCATATAGCCCCTGTTTCCCACTTCCCTTGTGAAGCGTTACGGTCTTGAAGTAACTCCATCCAACCTGATGTGCAAGAAATCGCTTAACGATATTCATTAATATATAATTTTTCAAAAACTATTTATTCATTACAATGCCCTATCTCTTTCGTCGCGGCTATTGTAAGAAAACATTATTCTACTACCATTTACTTAGACAAGATTGCATAAAAATAAGCAATTTCATATTAATCATAGTTGTGTTTGCAACTGATATTTTGTCCAGTAGTCATTGCTTTTAACAAACTAGAGAGGTTACCTTACAAAATTGCGCTTGGACATTATCCCCTCGCAAATGAGTCGGAGGAGATACTGAGTATGTAAGGCGCTTGAGTGTGTTCTATTATAGTTTGTGTGTGTTTACGTTTGTTTGTATGCGAAACGGAAATGACATAGTTTGCATCGGGATCGATGTGGAATTCTGTCTTGATTTATATCTATATGCTCTTTTCGAGGGGATGCGCCGCTTCGCGGTGTCTTTGTTAATAATTAAATTAAAAATTTGCACCCGTTTCTTGTTGGCGTCTCTAGAATAACGCTTTTTGAATAAATGACTTCCGCTAAAGTCGGAATTCGTTTCATAGAGTTTGATCTCAAAGCCGCCTTCAGGACCACAAGTTTAACTATGATCCTGATTTTTTTCTATAAGAGGATGATTCCTTTGCTGTGAACAGTTTGACAATTTTGAGCAGCACTTATGCTCTTGAGGGAAAAAAAATAAAGCATACCCTCCTTCTTATTCCTTTGCATATTATATTGGCCAACTGTTGTGCCCCAGGGGTCAAGAATTTATCGATTGCGCGTAATATCACTACCCGATGATACCGGTTTAACTGATGTAGTATATGTAAATTTTCTGTGTAGATTTTTTGGTTTCTTTTATCATTCCCCTAAAACTCTGATCTCACGGCATGATCTAACCAAAATTGAATCTATGTTCATGTATATTACATAAGATATGGACATTTTGTTAGCTTGTGGTGTTCACTCAGAAAAATCCTTCGTGAGCGCTCGGGATTTTTTTCCAGAAACATTTCACTCCAACATCGACTTTCTAAAGAATGAAAGAGTTCCGTTAAGTTTTCTGCAAAGTATTCTACAAACTATAAATGTGGCTTTTCTTGAGTAATTTGCTTATGACTATATTGTTGTTCCAAATAATTGTTAATTTAATATTAAATTAATGTTAAATTAATCATAAACAATTCATTGAAATTACTTCCAGAAAATAAAAAATAAAAATTCTTTTAATAGCTGTACCAATATACATGTAGCTCTCAGATAACCTTAGATGGTCTCTTTGATATGAAAATTCGAAAAGATCGTAACACTAAAAGTAGATATTTAGTGGGTGTGTGAATATGAAAAAGATATCTTCATTAGCTTCGTTGGAATGCGAATTTGAAATACCGATCAATCTTGTTCCTTGTTAGCGAAAGAGATTTAAGTTTAAGCTATTGCTTGTTAGAAAAGAGGGTAAATTGAATTTAAGGCTCGGCATATCTTCAGTTTGCCTTTTTAAACGAATTTTCCCAAATTTTATTTAATTAAGAATGATAATGGTTAGATTTGCAGATGTCAAATTCTTGATATATGCACGCGGAATAACGCCTTCTGCAGTGGGAATTTTTATATACGGAGGGGGGGAGAGATTTTTCACGCCTCTAAAACCATTGTCAACCGAGACTACCCCTTTAGTTGGAAATCAAAATATTATACAGAATGTTATATATACAACTACATATAAGTTAAATGGTGAGATGTATGTATGCGCATAAATTTCGCGCAGTCAACATTCTTTGTACCTGTCATCTAGCTGCAGATCTGTAGCTCTCCGGTCTATCAATATATTTTTTCGGAGAGCTACAGATCTGCAGCTATATTGACTGTTGCTTTGTTCTATCAAACAGGAGGATGTGGTTTCATCATTCAGAGGTGTATTTTTGAATTAATACATTTTTTACATTACAGAATCAACTAATTTACATGAAAGTTTAATAATCTTTTTAAAACAAGATTTTTAGTCTTTTTGATATTATAAATTTAGCTCGTGGAGATCTGCCCTTCAGTGTCATTCATTTGTAATTCTTTATAGTACTAGTATAGTCTTCATTATATCAGATAAAAATATAAACACGTACATTATTCATAAATTTTCCAAGTATAAGTAAATATATATACCAGAGATTTTCCGGTATCTCTGTTCTCAAATACTTCATCGTCTTCGAACATTTTTCTAGGAAAATAGATCCTGGTGCCCTACTTGGAAATGTTCAAAATAACCTACATTTACATAAAAGAGCCAAAAAAAATTAACTTTCAAATTAAATTTCAACAAATAACACTTTATTTGACATAATTTTCTCTGTAAGATCAGAGACATTTTTTCATTAATATTAAGAGCTTCCATAAGCATCACTTGTGAAGTCGCACCAAATAATATTCGTTGACACAGCTGTCGGGAAAATAGGGACAATTAGTTGATTGTACAAATCAGTTATATAAAGAGCAGTTCTCTTTGTTGCTCTGTTTGTCTGTCGAGTATTGTATTGCCGAAGCCACGTCCCTTATGTATCAATAAAAAAGTAACTATATTGCAAATCTTGTCCTGCATTCCATCGTTAACATAAAAAAATATAACTTTAACGAAGTTCAGGATCAATTTGTGATAAAATATTATACATTCGTATTTTGTTTTGGTTTTGTTCATCATAAGGAAGGGTGCGTTGGTGCAACAGCATTTTTCTTGATAAAGGATTTCAAAAATATTTTTAATCAAATTATAACAAAATAAATTAATTACTCATCTTATAAAGTAGCACTGCTAGATTTTGTTTACTTCATTTTCGAGTAACAGAAACCACAAAAACGGTACTTTTATTTATAAAAACAAATTTACGACTTTCCATGAGCCCCCGTCCTGAAACTTTTTGACATCTCTGGTGGTGTATTTTGCTTGGATTTCCTTTTTAAAAGAGGACCAAGTTCCAGTTTTTTTAAAGAAATGTTCATGTTCCGGTTTTAAATATTGACACAAAGTTCCAAGTGCTAAAACGAGCACATAATTTTTTGGTAAGAGCCGGGTATCAACTGAATAAGACTATACCGATAAGACCTCTTCAAATAAATGGGTAGTTGTAGAAAAGCAGACTAAAAAGTATTTGATAATTCGGTTAACAGAAATTGAAAAAAGCTCGTTATATCAAAAATTCAACTTCCAGTCAATGCCATATTTGAAAGAAAATGGTTCTTTGCTGCCATTATAAATTTGTTAAAAATAGAACCGATCCTTCAAACTTTTCATACTAAAGGTTAATGCCTGGTTATCAGTATTCAAACAAAATTGACAAATGATTTGAAGTTACCTTGATATGAAAATGCTTAACTTTTCGCAGGTAAAAATATACAGGCTTCCAACATGTCCAATATATTCTGCACTTGAAAGTAATTTGTTTGTTTGTAAGTACCATATACTTAGCTTGTTTTTAGAGATATAAATCAATATATGCACAAGCACTGATCCTGGGTTTTTTAATCAGATATTTTGAGGGTCTGCTATACATTAATGAAATATAAATAGTAAGTAAGTAAGTAAGTTATTTATTTATAGTGACATGTGTACAATTTTAATTTTTTTGTTTACAGACTAAATAAATAGCATTTTTGTTTATAAAAATGTCAATTAACAATAAATCAATTAATAAAAATACATGCAGATTGATAAGTACTTACAGTGATGTCAAATTCCTATGAAGGAATTCTGGTACCGTTTTCAAAGTGGCGTTCTCACAAATAACCTTCGTCCCATCACACAAACACAGATTCTGACAGTCAGTAAATTCGCTTAGTACACCCACATTAAATTGAAAAACAACAATTAACATCAAAGTGAAAACATACAAAATAACTCCCAACATCTTCATGCCATTTGTCCTAAAAGACTTCTTGAAAAATCTGAAGACTTCGCGGTTTTCGGCTTGAAACGAAAACCGGAGAAGAAGTAGTGTAAGTTAAAATCTCATCTCAACGGTTAATCACCCTCAGTGATTACATCCAGTAGGGGAATCATTTAATTCACCCCCTTCAGATTGTTTGTATGCAAATTTCACTCAAACAGTTGACTATATCCTTCCTGTTTGCATATCTTAATTGGAAATGATAGTCGCCAATGCTCCGTCAGTATATGAAGTGACGCACCGCGTAAGAGAATAAATGACTAGAGTAGTGCTACGTCCGATATCATTGCAAGAAGCCCTAAAACGTCACATCGCAGATACGACAGGCGGAACATTTCGTATTTCGCTACTCATAGCGACTTAATAAAATAATGATTTCTTTAAGGGGTGTTGCTCCCGATATTGTTTTGCCACCCTAGAATCCTCGGACGTTACCTTTGCGGACCAGTGAAAGAGGCCAAGGCATTATATGGTAATTAGAATTTTGGTATCTTTGGGGGATTCGTGAATATTTGGTCCCCGAATGCTTTGGCCACAGGGGATAATTTCATTTATCAATTCAGTACTTTACGATCCCTTGGTCAATTTCATACCAACACTGCTCCCGGATTTCAATGTCAGATTTAATTTAAGTCGCACCGGGAGCTTAAAACAAAAATGACCCCACGTCGTTCAATTTTTACTGGGTTATCAAGTAGAACAGTTCTTAATCAGTTTCTTCTTTTCAGTCCTTTGATTTGCCAGCGAAAAGAGGTTTCATTTATCACTTTAGACAAATAAAATCCCTCGATAAAGACTCAATGCCTTAGTATTCGGTAAATACCGATTTACCAGTCATATGTCCAAAGAAAAACAGAAGTACAAATCTAAGTCGTATTAATTCTTGTGCAAATATTCATGTTCTCCCGTTCTTCTACGATTAAAGCATAAAAATGCAAAAATCAATCGAATTTCTTTTGATTTAACTGTTTGCTTAAGTGGTCGGGCAGCGCTACTCGTCCTATAATTATAAGACAATCGAGTGTTATATTTGTTATTATCTGTATAAGCAAAATGTACTTAACACATCATTTTCATAAATGTGATCGTTACCATAAATCGTTGCCTAGGATACACATAGTAAAACTGTTTCGTCTTATACAGAGAGGTGTGCAAATGCTTCAAGGGAGAATTCGACACCGAAGCTTATGTGCAGCTTTAAGAGGGTTGGGTGGTTGTGGCCATTTTTAGACTATATTGATCTCCTTTAGAAGAAGAGCTCCATAAAGTTATTCAAAAGTGATCAAATTTTAAAACTAAAATGTATGAAATATTTCTTTTCCAAATGTAGTTGACAACTTAAGATTTCAAATCTAACAAATGAAGTTACATGTATATCTGACGATTCATTTGTTGATTCCCAGCTTTCTTAAATGGGCATGGACTCAAGCTGTAAAGTATTACTAAAATCTCAATTAAACTCCAAACTAAGGTGTATAGTTCCCGGAAGCAATTATTACGGTATGCAGTAAAAGAAAAGGTCAGCTTCAGTTCCATCTCTCCAATCAAAGAAGATGCTCGCGGTTATCTTGGCTTTATGATGTCGGATAACGATTCGATTAGCGAGTAATTGTGGAAGTAAGCACAAATAACAGAGGGATATAAATTTGGTTGGCAGTTAAATTTTTTTATCAAGGTCTAGTTGATTGAAAATCAAGTCCTCCCGCAACAAAAATGCATGAAAAAGGACATGCTAGTATTTAAATGTCTTTATTTGTTTATAACCATCTTTGAAGTTTATAGTCTTCTTAGAAAAAAACTTTAACTTAATAGGTAATAATAATATTAACTTATTATGTAATGACGGATTAGGAAGCGAGATGGTACATGAAATTTAATAGTAATTATGTTCAAAAGTCATTTAAACAATACAAAACAGGAGCAAAGCAAATACGGGCCTCGAAAAACAATTAGAAGCGGGATAAGATATCATGGAGGAGTGAACATCTCCGGTAAACCTGCCAAGTTTTCTTTGTTAAAATCGGTAAAAACTGAAAAATCCGTTGAAAATTCAGTGTGATAATAATTACCCGGTACTTAACAATTAGTTTGTTAAACGCCAGTCGGCGAATTGTATTTTTTTTTGACAAGGTCATTGTAATGAACTCGGAAAAACATTACTTTAAACGAGACCGTTGATATTCTTGTTTTCCAACTTGTTTGTCAATAGCTTGGCTCATTTTAAAAATTGTTTGTACGTACAGCATACTCATGCAAGTCTAATCAATTAGGAGACGTAAACCCCATATGCAGGTGGAATATTGCTACTAACATAAAGCAAGAAAAGTTTACGAAAGAAAATTTGAAGTCATCACATTGATGTCTTTTTTCTTGTAAAATATCCAAATATGAAAACGATGAGTCAGACTCTGTGATATATCTTTTATTCTAAACTTACTGGGTATATCAAGTTGACATTTGAATGAAGTAATTACTCTTAAATTTCTGCATTATAACAGTACAATAAATAGGTCTACCAATAACGGGGCACAATTGGTGTCCCTGGGAGTTCCGAAAGATATTTGGAAGACCTGGTCTCCAAAACCTACATAGATGCATGTAGAGTAAATCAGAAACTCAAGCATCTTTTTAGAATCAACTTCAGAGTATATACATGTCTGTATATGAATAATCAGAATGATTTTTTTTTAATTTAAAATAATTTTGAAATGACCAATGACAAGGTGAGTAAATTAACGAGTTTCTTTTTTTTTTTTTTTTTTTTGCGCACTTGGTGATAGGTCTTTATTAATCAATAGCATTTTAAGTAAAAAAAAACTTTTCCATGGGTATAAATATTTACCTTTTGACCTTGACTTAAAGTTCAACCCAGTTTTACAAAATTTGAACTTTAACCTGGGCTTAACTTTTGAACAATTACTACTAGGGCTTTAATATTTCTCGAGCATATTCCTGATGCTTAGACCATCCTTTGGATACCTTTTTTTTTCCATTTCGACCTTGGAGTTAAATTTTTAACCTTGGTCATACCTTTTGAACTGTCAGTGTTTGGGCTTTTATAACCACTTGTATATTTTTTGTCACACATACTTTTCCAAAGTACCATTGATTTTGACCTTGACCTTGGAGTTTGACCCTGGTGTCAAGATTTTCACAATTTTGGAAGAAACGCTCTTGCTTATCTTTGCACTTAGTTTTTCCGCTAAATATCCAGGAACAAAATAAAATTTCAAATAAACTTATTTTCAATATATGACCAGTAGAGCAAACTCCATACAGTGTCAATTCTCCGGGACTACTTTCGTGCCCTACGAATATGGAGTTGAAGCGTAACGTAATACTGAGCTGTCTGGAGCTTGCCAGTAGAGCCCTGCTCTAATATAGGAACCCCTGATCCAGAGGCCATGGAATTCACAATTCATAATAAGCATGACTTAGTTTGTTAATAAAATACTCAATAGCAGAGCTGCTGTAACATCGGATCTCCTGATCCTGGGGACTTGAATTTCACAATTTAGGAAGCGGCACTTTGCTCTAAACCTTTGTGCATAATGTATCCTCATACATACTAACTTGAAACAAAGAAAATATTTATCTGCAAATAAAATCTACTGGTTTACTTTCATCAACTTTAGAATAAAAAGAACATTCCATCATAACATCTTTATTATTAAACCTATAAATCAATTTCAATGCATTCATTCATACTCAATACAAAAACCATTCACACCAATCCAGCATATTTTATTAGTTGTTCACATTATTTTTTGTTTGGGTCTTTTTCATCTTTACTCTCCTCAGAAACACTCCCTTTGTTATCACTGAGACCTTCATCACTTTTATCATCCTTTTTATCCTCACTTTCATCGTCACTGTCATCTGAGCTGTCAGAACTGTCACTGTCAGAAGACGAAGGTTCTTTCTCGTCAGCAGCCTCTTTGACTGAGCTGTCAGACACTCCTGTCGACTTTTGTTTAGAAGATATTACTTCCAAATGTTCAGGTTCAGATGAAATCACCTCTGTATGTTCAGGTTCAGATGAAATCACCTCAGTGTGTTCAGGTTCAGATGGAATCACCTCTGTATGTTCAGGTTCAGAAGATATCACCTCTTTATGTTCAAGTGCAGATTTAATGATTTCTTTGTGTTCTGGTTCAGATGCTTGTATTTCTGTATGTTTCTCTCTAGCTGGTTCAACTTCTAAATGCTCTTTCCCTGCAACAGTTACTTTGGCATGTTCTCGTGCAATGTTTGGTAAGTCCTGTTTCTTCGTTAATATTGTACTTAAAAGACGATTTGGAATTCCTCCACTGTAAACTTTAGGATTTAGCTCAGGTGAAGTCAAAGCTTTTTTCTTTTGCGCTTTTTCAGGAGGAAGATACGTAGCTTCATTCATCTCCTTGAGTTTGACAATAGTGTCTTTCTGTAAGTGATCTGGTAGTCTCTCCATTTTGAACTACATGCAAGATTTGACAAAGTCATTAATTTTCAATATTTTATTATACGAGGGTTGATCCAAAAGTAATGTCACAACTTCGATAAAATTTCTCCTAGTCGACGTAAATTAACAAAACTTTACACGATGGAAGCTATATTTATTTTAAATCAGTCCTGAAAAATTCAAATCAAAACGATTTATACTTTTCAAAATAGCGAATTAAACACAAAGTGTGATTATGGTAGTCGCCGCACCTAAATAACGTCATAAAACGGATATGCGCCGTCACACACTTTTAAAAACGCCTTCCCATCGTTTTATTAAAAAAAAATGATATTCACAAAACATTCACATATTTTATTTTCTTTAAGAACAATTGGCACCAATTGTACACTTTATCTATAATTCAATCCTTCATCAAAATTCTTTGAACAATACCATAAGACAAACTTAAAAGTGTCTCATATCACTCAAAGTGCCACTAATCTCTTTTACGACAACGTCGACGCTATTGAACATTTCCACCTCACCTCCTATCTTTCGGTATTTCTGTCCCCAAATGATCATTTATTTACCTATTACCCGCCCAAATTCTCTGAAACCATCTATGAACAAGTCTCTCGTTAACATTCTTTCCTCTGCGAGTTTGATTTACCATCATAACTGTTTCTACTTGTGATTTCCAGATTTTGAAGGAAAAATACATTACAACTCGTTTCGGTGTTTTATTCCATTTCGACATTTCCTTCCTGCAATACATCAGATATAAACAATACTGTTTATGATGAAAAAAAAACGATGCTGCCATTTAATGTTTAACTAAAGATTAGAAAATGTCGTAAATTTTGTCTTGGAATAAAATAAATATTGGACGATAAGACGATTTTTTAGATACTTTTTTAAAATGTGTTCTTTTTTCATTCTAACAATATTAACTTTAAAACGTGACGTTTAGGGGTGACGCGGCGACACCCCCTATGTTTAATGTTTTAAACATCTATAAAATGAATTCAATTGAACATTATTAAATGAAATTTTCAATTTTGACTAGATTTACGTTTATGCATCTTTTGGTGCATTATATTTGATAATATGACGCCAAATATTAAAGATATGGAAACAGTGACATTACTTTTGGATCAATCCTCGTATAAATAAGTATGTAATATTTGAGTTTATCTTTTTCTTTTTCTGCATAAAGTACCTGCTATTTGCCCCAAGAAATATTGTTCAGGGAACAATGAAAAGAAATAAATTTTGCTTATCTTTATAATAATAAAATATATACAACACAATTTTCAATTAGCTTGCAGGAATTTTGGTCTTAAAAGATGCTCAGACTGCTTGAAGTGATTAAAAATTTAATAATGTCTGATATAATTCAGAACTGAGGGCAGGCCACTCAACTATAAAAATGCCACAGAATAAAAACTCTCTAGTGTGCATTGTACAGAGTTCCCTTAATGTACATGTATAAATTATTTACCTTGGTAACTTTCATGGCCACCCCCTCTGGCAGGTTTCTCTGTATGTATTCTAAAAATGTTCTGGCCGTTGACCCAGTGAGGTTATAATACTGAAAAACAACAGGTGTAGCATGATTGAAATCTTCACCCATTCGTTTATTGAACAATAAGCAAAATCAAACTACAAGAGCAGAGGAAAAAGAAGACTTCAGTAAACTTACAATAAATGTTCTAACGTGTGTCCTAGCTTCGTACTGCACTCGGTGCTTCTTGAAGATATGCACTGACTTGTTCAAGGTCAATTTATCAAAGGTGGGTTTTCTCTGAACATATCTAAATGCAAAATCAGTCTTTTTAAGTAATAATTTTATTAATCAAGAGTCAGTTGCCGAATTTCGCATAATGCTGGTTATTCTTCAGAAAAATGAAGTTTTTTGGGCAAGAAAGGAATTTAAAAATTCAGTACTAATGTATATTCCAACAGATAAATACTGTTTACTGAAAAAATTTTACCCCCCCCCACCCCCCGTTTTATTTTCACCTCTTTTACCCTCATTACAAGTGGGTGATTTTTTGCCGGGCTTATTGCTCAAAGAGCAATTGCCGGCTTATGTCATCCTGTTCAAGGCAGGATGTCAACCCCATAGTCGCCATTTTAAAGTTACGTGCAAAAATATAGTTCTATACTCTCAACCGCTTTTGAGATAATACAAACGCTAAATAAAGCAACAAAAATAAAACAAAGTTTTATCTATATAAATATACATTAGAAGAAATGACTTTGAAAACATCAGTCCGAAGTCAAAGAACATAGTTCATTAGCGTAAGGATTTTTGATAATCAGTGTTATCGTAGTTCTTTACACATACATGTACGAGGTAAAGCAGGAGAGGGAACCAGACTTTGTTTACATTCAGCTGCGGTACCAGATTAATTCTGATTCTGACAAAATCGGACCGTGAAAAACTCACTGTCAGTGTCTTATCATTTATATTGATAGTTTTAAAATAATTTTTTCATCAGAATATAAACGTGATTCGTGTAAGAAAATTCTACTCTGTAAATGAGCCCGGCTCTCTGTACTTCTGAGTACTTTGATAAAAATAGGTGCTGCCGTGTGCAAATTCAAAGAACACAGAAAAATTTCTTAAGCAAACCAGTAGCTGTGCAAATTTAAAATGAAGAAATATTGTTGAAAGGGCAAATATAGCCCATGTATTGTATTTAAACTTACGTGTCATGGGGGCCTAGGTCTAAATGAAATGCTGTTTGTTTCAGGTACCAGTAATAACTGTCCAGAACCTTGCGTTCATGACCTTTGACCTCCACCAAGATTTTACTGTAAAGGTCGTCCTCTTCTTCTGTCTGCTGTTGACCTGTTGTGCTTATTCCACTGTGCCATCGAAAGTGATAGGAAGGACTGAAATTGTAAATTAGAGAGTTCAGTGAAAGTGTTTTCTAAAATTCAAAAGAGAGAATTTTTTTAAGTAAGAAATTCTAATATTATGAGATAGATCAGAATTTTTGACAATTAAAGGACTAAAACAAGATGAAACAAAGTGTAGAAGCTGTAAATTGACCATTGTCACAAGCCACATGTTCTATTAAAAAAAAAAACAAAAAACTGGAAATAAATGGACGCAAAATCTGTGGCTTGGGATGTTATACATTGACAGATTTTTAAGATCTTTACATACCTTACAGACAGAATTTGCAAAAGTGATGGACTGCATTTGACACTGAAGGAGGTACACAGGCTGGTTTTCTGAAGAAAGAAATTTGAAACCATCTATCATGTTATATTATCATGATTACAATGCAATTTTACATAATTCCTTTCTCTCCAATTCTAAAACAAAACTGTTCAATGTCAAAAGCCCTTTTTAGAACTGTACATTTACACAAAATATATAAACTCAGTTCACATACAGGTACTTTGAGAAATTTAAAAATAAAATTAATTATTAAAACAACAATTCACACGCTAACAAAAGTATTACAATAATGCATTTAAAATTCTGCTAGCCATAGTGTTGCCATGGTCGCAAACCACAATCTAATTAAAATTAGATGTTAGATCTGCTCGCATACTTGCTTCACTACCAATATTTTAAATATGTAGTATCGCCAGTACCTCACAGTTATTTAACTTACTACCGCTCTTTTACAGGGAAGTCAAGAAAGCTTGAGATCTCTTAAGATTTCTGGGGCATAACATTGTTTACATTAGTGACAATCGAATGGTTCGTACAATCACTCTGCTGTAAATACAATGTATTTCCAAGAGTTGAACTCCAATTAGTAGATTGTCAAATAAGGAAAGTTTAGAGTACTTGATCAGCTTTCAAAAATAATGATTTTCAATGAAAATTAAATGAGAAGGGTCTGCTTAGTAAAAAGTAACGTAAAAAATGTATCATCTGAGGACTCGCTCCTCTCAAAGATTTATTACGCTGGTTCAGCAAATTTTTACGCAAGAAATTTCAACAGGATTTAATTCTTATCTGCCTTTACAAACTCCATAATGATTGATCTTGCATTGTATTCAATAGCACATTGTCCCCATCTAACAAACGTTTTCTACCTTTAACGAGAAAGAGTTCCGCTAAGTTAAGTAATCGCGATTTCAAGTATTGAATTTGACCTGTGACGTGACCCTCTATGGGATGTCGTAACATATTGGTGTAGTGAGTATGCGGGTGGATCCAACATGTTATTTGTAATTAGATTGTGCAAACAATGGCCAAAATGTAAGATTCTCTTCCATTCTGGATGTTGATGAATGAGAAGAAAATACTTTGTCGCTGATTACAATACTGACCAATGCCATTAAAGCATTGTCCGAAATTGAACCTTCATGTTACATTCCAAAACCCAATCGCAGTTTACGAAATATTTCTCGTTTACTGTTGAGTCAATGTAAAATGATTTGAATTGTGATGGGAAAAAATATTGTTATTGGCTGAACATGAGTCACAATACTGACACATAAATATTCAAAATTACCACAATTTATGTGACAAACCAGAAAGAGGTAGGAAAGAGTCTGTGCTCTGGACAATGGCTCGAGACAATGTGGTGTTGCTGCTTCCATTAATAATGAAGCCGCCAACACCACACTGTATCGAACCAGAGTCCAAAGTCTGCATATATCCTCTCCTACCCGTGACTGGTTGATCATAGCGAGGCGGCGCGAAGCGCCAGTGTGTAGCTGCTTCCATTAATAATCCTTTGCGGTGCATAGCAACATGGTGGCGCAACAACACCACAACGATTTAATGCAATATCCATGCCACAAAACTATCGTTTGCGTTCTAAGTCAACAGGACTTTTTATTTTACGTCATACTTTCGTCATTTAAGAGTCCAAAGAATCTCGATCCCGACGCATGAGAAGTATTTCTTTTATTGTTTTCTCTCCTGAGGATAGGCAGTGCAAGTAAAAGCGTGACTGGTTGATCATATAAAGAATAAGGTGTCATAATCTTTAATATTTATATTTTATAATAATATATTTCAATATTGCAACAGTAATTCAATACTGTACACATATCATAGTGTGCTTGACCACTGTTGACGCTTATGATTTTATTAGTTATTTATTTTTATTTTCAACTGTAAATCTGTAAAACATGTATGCACATTTCTGCAGATACTAGGTTACAATCATCACTCAGAGAAAATTCGACCTCAACCTTCGAGATAATTCGAACTACATTTTGACAGCTTATGAAATATAACCCGTTTAATCTTAATTGTGCGCAATGTGCTGAAGTGTGGTTGCTCTCATTCTTCAAATTTATTTGATAAATTAACCATAATCATGCTCAGTTTACCCGAAATAATGATGAAACTCTTCTGCAAGCAACAAATGCTCTACCGGAAGCCATGCCTTCAATATTTATGCGGTCCTAGTGCAAGGACCATATTTAATTTCAGCAAATGATATATATTTTTGATAATTTTCATATAATTTGTTTCAAAGATAGAATATTTTAAAAGCGATTATTCCACTAAATTAAAAATAATAAACAAAAAAATTAAATAGACGCGCACTTGTCACCTTGACGACAAAAAGAGCTTCAAAATGGTGGGTACAAGTTGTTTACATTGAAGAAAAAAATATTGTTATGATATTTTTAAGCATAATGTTTTCAGAACAGATTGATACAAATAATTTTGTTTTGTCTTTCATTATCTTTTTATTCTAAAAAAAAAGATCTGAATAAAATTCAAAATATCAATTCAACCTCTTTTGTGTTTTCAATACATTTTCAGGCAGGAAAAGGAACAACAATCAAAGAAGCTCTCCAAAAATGGGTAATTATTATGTTTTAATTGATTCAAAATTCTAAATATACACATTATTGAATGTGATATATTACATAAATTTATTTTTAATTCGGTCACAACACTGCTTTCGACTTTTAGTATAGCCTTTCCCTTACAGGTATTGTTATAGTTACCCCTACTAAACAGTCCCTATGTGATTTCTTATTTTGAAAAGTCCAACAATTCGACTTTCAGTCCAGGAACTGGTAAAATGGAATGCTGAAAAAGAATGTTGCTCGCTGGCATCAATTAAATGGGGCTAAACTGAGTTATCTTTTCATTTGGCAAAGGAGTATAAAAATATTTAAAAAAAAAAAAAGTTGTTGACAGGAGTTTCAGGAAACAGTTGATCGGTTGGAACGTCAAGTGCAAACTATTGCCCATAGCCTACGGCCTTGAGCAACAGCTAAATTAAATTGCACTCCAGTCCAATGTCAGATCGACTGTTTCCCTCTAACCCTAGTAAAAAACTGTATACTCTGACTGTGGATGTTTTTATTAAAATGTGACATCACTGGAGTAACCAAGAAATTTTACAGACTACCCTATAAATTATTTGCAGATTTTCATGCAATTCATATCATATATACTTCAAGGTTATGATTTATATAGTGATGGATGTTTACAAAAAGACTTGTTCATATATACATGTACATTTCTGTTTTACATGGACATGTATGTATATTTAAGTTAGTCATGCAACTATGAATATTAAATAAAATAGGAAATCAAAACATATATTTCAATCCTGAATTAATTATTTTTACTGACAGGAAGAGAAAATGGGACAGAAAGCTTCCGAGTCCAAAGAAGTGAAAATTTTTGGTCAGATCCCTCCCATTGAGAAAATGGATGCCTCTCTGTCCACACTAGCATCTTGCGAGTGAGTATAAAATTGTTTATTTAATTAGTCCTCACCTTTAGTTACAATTAGGAAGCTATTAGGAAGAACAGTTTTTATTTTGTTGACCGTGTTAATTATAACAATTTTAATTTATACTTTAATTCCTATGCTTTCTTCATTGTACTATTATACCTTTAACTGAAAATTCGGTGCACAATTTTTACATGTAAAATCTTGTAATTATTTTGGTGTCCTTTTTTGTAAGAGAATTATAAGCTATTTTATTATTTCTTTTGAAGATACATCAGAAATGAGCATGTATTTCACTCTTTCAGGAAACTGTCATTATCTACAAACTGTATTGAGAAGATTGCAAACTTAAATGGTTTGAGTAAGTACATTGTAAATTCAATTTGATTTTAAAAAACTGTATAACATTAACAACATTCATATTTTTCCTAATGGTGTCAAGCAAACAGAGCTCATCTAGATTAAAGTTTACATAAAGTTGAATACAGAAAGATAAATTTTATCAATAATAATATTTTAAAACTTGAATTAAATCCCAAGATTTTTCCTATAGAGAAAATTTCTCAATCTAATTAAAATTAGATTTCTAAGATCTGCACTGTATACTCAAACAGAGTGTAATTAAAAATGGCACAGATGTAAGAAATCTTATTCTAATTAGATAAATAAACTGCTGAAATAAAAGGAGAGAAAAAAATTAAAAAAATCTTTACCTTTCAGAAAATCTTAAAATTTTATCTCTCGGAAGGAACAACATCAAATCTCTCACAGGCTTGGTAAGTGGACTTTTCTATAAACCACAGAAGGCAAATAAAACCATACCTGTATAACTTCAATAAACCCCTTTTACATTCAAATACTATTTTATACTGATTAGTTTGAGAATACAGTGTATCTACTTTTATGATTTAGAGTATATATTTGATCTCACAGTCCTCTGGTTACTGTGGACGTACTACTGTAGACATACTTTTTTCACGGGATCATAATTCCCAGGAATCTTAATTTCTAATTAATCCCCGGGTAGAAAATTACGCGGATTTCTTACACTGTAACTATTTGCCTTACGTTTATATTAAGTACACTTGGACAAATTTCCGTGGAAAATTTGAAACCGCGTACATAGCGTAAATTAATACCACGCGGAAAAAAAGTACTTCTACAGTAACTTTAAGAATCTGAAGTCTGTAAATACAATTCCATCTATTTAAAAATTGACTTATTTCTAACTCAGACTAAAACTCAACATTTTATATATTTTTTTAAACAAATACCAATTCACACATTTTGTTTTAATGTTTACATATACACATATATATTAATTATTACCTTCAATAATGACTCTTACAGGAAGCTGTCGGTGACACTCTTGAAGAACTCTGGATCTCATATAACTTAATTGAAAAGTTAAAAGGCATCAATGTCCTCAAAAGATTAAAGGTCAGATTTCAACTAAATGATTATGCTTCTTTTTCATTAAAAACAGACCAGTTCATTTTTTTAAAAGTTAAATTTGTTAATCAAGTTCAATTGAGAGGAGTTGAACACATGTTAATTATGTTATTTATTTTTCAGGTCCTATATATGTCAAACAATGCTGTCAAAGACAGCAATGAGTTTGGCAAATTGGTGAGTACCATAACAATTATATAACTAAAATCAATTCCTCCTTCATAGAATGAAATCCTTGATTATTATTTTTAAACAATTCCAAATTTTTTGAAGAGCATTGAGCTACTCTATAATATCTCTCTATTCTTTCCCATATTCTTTCTTTGGTACATGTATATAAATGTATAATAATTTTATATAGACATATGATTTATTTCAATAAATAGGCAGATTTACCCGTGTTAGAAGAGTTAGTGTTTGTGGGGAATCCTCTGGAGGAAAAAGAATCTGGGGAGGGAACATACCGAGACAATGTGGCCAAGAAACTCCCCAAACTGAAAAAACTCGATGGTTTGTATCAAGTCGTAGATTCTGCAGTCATATTTATAATTTTGGTACATTGCATCATATTAAAGAGACCTTAATTTTCACATAATTACTGTAGATTCCTTATTTTTCGCGAGTACTTTTAATCGCAAACGGGCGCTTCAACAGCAAATCGCGAGAATAAGAATTCGCGAATGGACGGTTGATCAAGTTTTAACATAGATTTCAGCACCATAAAAATAAAAACAAATAATTTAATTTCGCGTGTGTGCTTCTCAAGAAATTACATGATAATTAATTCCACACGTATATTTAGGAATCTACAGTATTCAAGACTGTCTGTTTAGGAAAATTTTATTCACTTATAAATAAAGATATTAATCCTATAAAGAATTATGTGCAAAATTTAAAAGGAAACAGCTAGACTATGAAATTTAAGCCACAATTTTGAGAAAAAAAAAATTTAATTTCTAAAAAGCTTCAAATAAGTTTTTTTGTTCTACATATATTTATAAATTTAATTTATACAATTTTCGATTCATTGAAATGATTGATTCAAACTAAAAAATTTAAACTAAAATTAATTAATATTACAAGTAAAATGATTAAATTTCACTCGAGATTTTCCTTTTATTTATAGGTGTTCCTGTTATTCGTGAAGAGGCTGATGAAGAGGGCGATTGAGGATAAACTGAAATTCATTTACATACTCGTGGAAACATTCCAGCATAGGCTTAATTTCTACTGTGCTATAGACTTAATTGACCTGATGAAGTGAAAAATATCTATAAAGTTTTTAAATTTAAATTGTGCTGTTTTCTGATTCATTACAACTCAGTAACAAGCGAATAAAGGGAGAATTTTAAGGAACCATAATATTAAGTGCCAATGTATAAATTCATGACTTACTTCAAATTATGTGAAAAAAATCTGCAAAAAGATTGAAATGGGCTTGTTATGACAAATGTTACTTCATATACATTTAATAAATTATTTTAAATTTGGAGGTTTGTTTTTATGCCATTTGTGCTTTGGATGCATGGGATATATAGTTACTTCAATATAAGGCCAAAGAAAATAATCAATAGTTTCCCAGGCACTGCTGCATGAGGTCAATAACTGCTGCATTGATAAATTTTTATTGACATTTTGAGAATAGAAATAACACAATTTTCTATTTTTCTAACTACCCGGTAACTTTACTAACTTCTGCATTGAATCTTGACATTTTTGGCCTGAGAAACTATTGATATATTTCTATGGCCTAATATGCTGTCTATAAAACTGGATGACCCAAGTACATTGTATCCAGAAATAGGATAATGGATAATGATTTAAAAGATAAAAAAAATTGCAAATATGTCTGATCTTCAGCCTTTCTACGAATACTAAGTAAGAGGCCCAAGGGCCACATCACTCACCTGAGCACATCAGCTAGGAAAAAGCACATTAATCATATCAGAACAGAAAAGTTTACTGGGGGGGGGTTGAATTCCAATACTACTTGAGAATGCCTCCATATCAATAATGCATATAACTTCTTGAGAAAAAGATTTTTTTAGATTTTTTAAAAGTTTTGTTTGTATATATTACTTTGTAATAAATTGAATTTGACTCCCCATTGCTTCCGACGTCCCTACCCCAAAGCGTACTTATGATTTGAACAAATTTGAATATTCAATGCATGAGGATGTTTACATGTAAATATGACTAAACATGTAGCTTTTCTGTTATTGGGATTTTCCCCTTTATTTTCCTACGTAAAACTTTGATTCACCGTTGAGACCCTTCTTTACCCTTGGAGATTATGATTTGAACAAATCTCACTGTACACTATCTGAAGATGCTTCCATATATGGCTTTGCTATTCTATAGAAAAAGATTTTTTAAAATATGTTTCAATGTAAAACTTTTACCCCCCATTGTGGCCCCACCCTATTCCTGGGGGTTATAATTTGAACAAACTAGAATCTACAGTATCTGAGGATGCTTCCATATAAATATCACTGATCATGGCTTTGCAGTACTTGAGAAGAATTTTTTTTAAAGATTTCCCTATATATTCCTATCTAAAACTTAAATCAATTATTGTGGCCCCACCCTACCCCTGGGGGTCATGATTTGAACAAACTTGAATGTACACTACCTGAAGATGATTCAGCATGAGTTTCATCTTTCCTGGCCCAGTGGTTCTTGAGAAGAAGATTTTTTAAATATGCCATTAATTTTTCACTAAGTCATAATTATCTCCCCTTGGAAGAGGGCGCGGCCCTTCATTTGAATAAATTTAAAACCCCTTTACCCAAGGATACTTTGTAGCAAGTTTGGTTGAAATTGGTTCAGTGGTTCTTGAGAAGAAGATGAAATTGAAAATATGAAAAGTTTACAACAACGCCAACGACGACTACGACGACGACAGACAACGGACAAATTTTGATCAGAAAAGCTCACATGAGCCTTCGGCTCAGGTGAGCTAAAACTATTTTGATTCAGTTCCTTAATTTTTTTTTTTGAAGGGGGGGGGGGTGTCCCTTCCTTTATCATAAAAAAACAAGATGTGTTTGTGAAACACTACGCGCCCGGCGGCAACAAAGTTCAAAAAAAATATTTTTAGCAAATAAGTCACAGTCAAAGTCACAAGGTCATTGACCTTGGTGTCATTTGAAAGAACTTTGTTAGTGGAGTATGCATATCAAATTTGAAGTCTCTATCTCTCATGGTTCAAAAGTTATGTTGAATGTTCGAAAAAGCTATTTTTAGCATATAGGTCTCAGTCAAGGTCACAAAGTCATTGACCTTGGTGCCATTTGAAAGAGCTTCATTGATGAAGTATGCATGCCAAACATGAAGTCTCTATCCCTCATGGTTCAAAAGTTATGGTGAAGGTTAAAGTTGACAACAGACAAATAGACAAACAGAAAGGACAAAAACAATATACGCCCCGGGCGCATTAAAACTGATACAGTTATGTTTATTGAAAGGCTTGTTTCCCCCCCCCCCCCAACTTTATTCCACAAGAAATATTGATATGAGCACTGAATGACCCCAAAAATGGTACTGAAAAAAGTTGGCATTGAAAAAAGTTTCCCCCCAAAATTGGGACTGAAAAAAGTTGGCATTGAAAAAAGTTGATCTCAACACCCAAACACCACCCACCACCCGCCCCCACGAAGTAGGATTTTCGAGTTTGGGCAATTTCCCCCTTTTTTTTGTTGTTGTCAACTTTTTCAGGTACGTCAATTTTTTTATCTCTGGCTGCCCCTTTCAAAAACAATGCTACGTTGCTGATTCTTTTTCAGGGGCAAATTATATATTATCGCCAAAAACTTTCAGCCCATATAAAAGCAGTTTTCTTTAGGGGAGGACTACAGTACTGTAGATCACTAAATTCTGGCGACACCTTATTTTCGCGAGATAAACATTGATTCTTGATAAGCGAAACAAATTTTTCACGATTCGATCGTGGTCATTGCTCTATATTTATATATTCCACTAAGGAATACTGTTATACACGAGAATTAAACTTGGTTTTCGCGAGCACGCTGTCTCACGTAATTACGCGAATATAAAGTTCTCGAGAATAAAAAAGGTGGGAGGCTGGCAGATTTGGAAAGAAATAATCTGTCCTCGTTGGTAATAAGTCATCTGTTCCCGTCTGGAAAAATAAATCATCTGTCCCTGACCAGTGCTATCACCCCCCCCCCCCCCTCTCAAGAATTAAAGTTTTGGAGTTCGATGTTTTCCTCTTTTTCATTTTTTTTTTTACAGAGAAGAGGAAAATAGATAATTTTTCCTTGATCTTCTTGGAAATAAATAATCTGTCGTCCACTTATATTCTTTCATTTCCAACAAAAAAATCTGATGATGGAATAATTGGCTTTAGCAAAGGAAATTATAACAGGCACATATTTTATTAATAAATTGAAGGGTTCTGCGTGATACTAGTATATCCTCCGTCCCACTCTTTTATATCGGGATTGGAATCCGGAAAATGTTGATTCTGCGGGAAATTACGAATGTCAACAAATCGCCTGTTCTGTGTTTACTGCTGACCAAAAAAATATGGAGAGAAATTTATCACTCAGCCATTGATTAGATTTTTACACTCATCATGGATACTGTACACAATGTGAAATGTGTGCAGGGGTTGGCTGAGGTATTTATTTCAATCGCACACAGTGTATTTCCTGCCAGTACTGTTAAATTCCCTTAGGCCACAGGCACTTGTTTCAGTGTTTGGGAAATAATTTTTTTAACCTACAGCTGTTATATTTTAATTGATCTCTGGGTTAAAGTATCTATTTCCAAAACAATTGCCTGCGTCTTAGGCTTATGAAATATGGTAAATTTCATCCATAATTCAATACATTATATATTTTCCCTATTTTTAAAAGTATTTTCATGTAAAATGAATATTTTGATAATATGTTGACTAGTCGAATTTGATATGGAGAGAGGAATCAAGTATATGCCTGCATGTTCATTTTGATGTTCGTAATTTTTCCGTCGTAAAATGAATTTCTGTATCCGCTGTTTTCAATGAATTTTTCCATTCATTGTCTACGAAAAATTCCTAGGAAGAAGTTTAGTTTCCATATTTTCAATGTCTTTTATCTAAAGAAATATGCTCACTAACTCATATTTTTCTGCAGTTTATAAGCAGATTATTCAAATAACGTTAAAGTTCCAATTTGAAAGGTTAAATGTAAGTTACATGTATCTCAGGAGAACATATTCTTAAAAACAAGTCATATCCATAAATTCTTGAAAGTTGTAGACTATGCAAATGTGATTAAAATGAGATCCTTTGATCCGCTCTTATTAGATTGCTACACAAACCCTTGAAGTGATGTATGTGAGCGGATCAAAGGATCTGATTTTTATCACAGATTGATTGGATGTAAAATTTCAATTTATTAAAGTCTAGAAATATAATAATATACAACTGCAGCTACATGGTGGAGGAAAGTAGCCTTCACAAGGGTCTATATTGTTGCCTCCCATAACTTCTCGCATCGCTCCAACCCCATATATACATGTATTCTCTAGGAATTTTACCAAGTGTTTGTCCCTCCAATTTTAATAGCATAATTTTCTCGTAAAAATTAAAAACTATAGTTTTTTAAACATATTTAGATTTTAAAAAGAATTAAAACATTTTCTGATCATTTAAATTTTGTGACCTTTGCTAAGCTATTTTTTTAAATTATACTTCCGATTTATAATTTAGTTTTATATATCAATTCAAGAATAATCTATGTGTACAATAATTTCCGTTTTGGCGGGTTTTCTTTGTTTTTTTCTCCAGATATTAGAATTGCTGCTTGTCCTACATCCACAAACGTCAGAACTGTCCATCAAAGTTCAGATTGGGTCATCAACTGAACATCATAACGAGAATCCGATTTTCCTCATCAAACGTAATCTTTTTTTAGTTACATAGTTGTACATGTATTGAAATCTCGAAATGAAATTCATCTCCTTGTATGTCTTTTCTCAAAGAAAGTGGGCGCTTTAGATGGCGATTCGGCAGGAATAGTGGCTCATAAAAAGAATAAAAAAAATATCATTGATTTATACATTTTTTTCAAAACCTAGCCAATGACTGTGTTGTAGGTGAATGTAAAATGGGCAAATATTCAGTTAAATATGTTTGATTTTATTTGAATATGCACCTGAATATAGCTGTACGAGTCAAATGATGCAAAACTCGACTCTTTTATAGCCTTTTTTCATTAATTTTGTTGTTTCTGGGTCTTCTCTCCATGAATTTTAAATGTGTTATCAATGTATTTTTAACCGTAAAATTTATTCCCGTTGTTTAAAAAATGGAGAGACGACCCAGAAATACCAAAATCTAAACTTTTCCCATTTATTTTCTGGTAGAAAATTGACGAAGTCCAAATGTATAGGGCTTTGACTTTAAATAATGATTTAAATACTAGCTATGTATAGTGTTCCGCGGTAGCTACACTGGTTTGTCGCAGGATTCGAGCCATATCGAAGCAGTATTTTAGGTTCGAATACAGTGATTTTTTTTTTTTTTGATTTTTTTTTTGGAATTTTTCTTTGTGCTTGAAATTTTTGAATTGGTAGTAAAAAAAAAAAAATACTCCTTGAATAAAGTTGCAAATTATGTTTTATAAATCATTTTACATATATTGTTTTATTTTTCAATGCGTTCACATTTTGTCCTTTATACTGCTAACGTTCTCAAATAGAAATAAACATACATGAAAATGTAACTGCAAAGTTACACCTGATGAAAAAATATATTTTTTAAAAACTAGCAACTTCGATCTTCAGTTACATTCAATATTTTCAAAGCATTTGAAAACTGAGCACAAAAATTATTTAGTGTTAGACTTCTATTACATTCTATTACATGTAAATGTATCCAGCATAGATAATTTACGAGTATTTTTCATGACACCTTTTAATTGAAAAAAATATATATTTACAAATAAGCAAACATAAGACAGAAATCTATTCCCATGCAGTTTCTAGGTTCATTGTATAAGATATGTATAAAAACTACATGGTGCTTGGACATTTAAATCTGAATTGTTTCGTGTCAATGATTCCTGCCGACTGCCTATCTAGTGCGCCCACTTTCTTAAAGTCTATAAAATATGTTTTAAAGTAATCCATTCTTTTCAACAGTCATCTGCAGTAGGTACTTCTGCTTGGAAACCCTCATTTCAAATTATGGTGAATAGTGATGTTTACTTATTTATTAAATAAATGAAATTTTTTCTATTATAGATACGCAATGAATCAAAATCTTAAAGAAGGGGGGGGTTGTCCAATTTTCCTTAATATAATTTTGTGTTCATTATAAAACAGCTTAATTTATTTTTTTATTGTCTATCATTTAAGGAAATTATCTACAGACATTTGCAAGCCTTGTTTTCCAAATGCAGTCCCTTGAAAATGAGAGCCATTTAAGTACGAGTTACAGTGAAGATGGCGCACTTACAAGGAAAAGTTATATCTTGACGTCTGAAAATTATGGTTATGGATTGAAATGCACCAAAAGCAGGACAAAACCAAATACAAAAGGAACATTTGGCACAGTACTACACATTAGGGTATTAACATTTCTGGTTAATATTTTCTTATATCCAGGGAAGGAAATATAAAATATATAATATCATAAATGCAAGACAAATTGAAATGCAAGAAAAACGTAATTGTAATATAGATTTATTGCACCATATGACCATATATTTGTAAAATTACTATAATAAAACATTCATAATTTTTTTTCTTGTTTTGGCAGGTTTTTCAAAATAAGAGTTCCATGATGTTACAAGCGAAAAAACTTTATAATTATATGAAACAAATAAGTCTATGTTCTAAGGTGAAAAGAATTCTTTACTGATTTACCCTTTTCAAATATCTTGTAAATTTTTTTTCTAATTTATGTAAACATTTAATAAATTTATTAAATCTAATTTTCTAACAGGTGTCCTTTGGATTATCTCTCACAGTTCACGAAAATGACTGCATCTTTGACATAAGGTTTGGTTTACCTGCTTCTGTGTTACTTGGAGGAAATGGCTATGAAGCTGAAATACATTATAGCATTCTAAAAATACCAATTCTAATATTTATGAAAAATATTTCATGGAAAAAAGTTTAACCATAAGTAAAATTTATGTCAATGTTTTACTTTCACATGTGAATAATTTAGGGGTTTTAATTTCCCCTTTAAGATAAGAAAAGGGGGGATATCCAAGTTTTCCTACAACAAATTTATGAATTATCTCTATATTTTTTCTTTATTTTGGATACTTAGGCAAAGTGTGACTGAAGATTTTTCAGAGAAGGGATATTCTTTATCAACAGATACAGCATATATTCTAAAGTGAGCTTTCAATATACTTTTTAGTAATAAAAAATAGATCAAATATAAAAAAGTTATATACTATATTTTAAGATTTTAAACTGTGACAAGATTAAGGAAGATTCAATCCAATCTTTTACAGCCAAAAAAATCTCAAATCTTTGTTTTGTCCATTTGTTTGTGTGTGTGTTATCTTTTTTTTTGTTGACTGATTTATATCTTTTTAGAGATACGCGATATGTTCCATCATCTTCACCTCCCAGTATTGTGAATGGTAACATTGAGGATCTTCCTAACATCCTTGATGAACCAAATATGGATTTCCAACTTTTCATCTCTGGATTTAAAACACAATGTTACAATGAAACAAACACACCCTCTCTAGTAATGGTATAAATTTTTGATAATTAAAATTGAAAAATAATCATATTTGTCTACCGGTATATTAAAAGATTTTTTTTTAAAAATCTGATGTATAGTCTGCATACAGATGAGATGAATGTAAGTGCACAAGAATTATAGCTGAATTACTGGTATTTATAAATCTATATTGAAATGTTTGTTTATATCATTAAAGCTTTCTTGGTATGGTCCTGGAAATATACCACTGAATGACACTGGAGATTCAACTCATCTTATGAAAGTTTTGAGCTTTGTAAATTGGACAAAGTATGGGATACATCCGGTTGCCGAAAACTCAATGCAGTCTAAAAGTAAATACTGTAAATAACTTTTTATTCGCGAGACTTTATTTTCTCGTAATTACGCAAGTCTGTCTGATCGCTAAAATTCTCACGTATAATTGTATTATTAATGTTTATATGCAACAAACCACAGCTCGCGAAAATTTTATCTCGCTTATAAATTCCAAATAGCTAAGTAATTCTGATAATGGATAATCATACTCTGTTTTATGTTATAAAATTGGTGCCTAGACCAGGATCCTATCAGTCAAGGATTAAATTTTATTAAAATTATGCAAATAAATATATGAATGAATGAACCCTGCTTTAAATTTTTTTTTAAATACAACTGTCTGATTTTATCACAGCCAACCTTCAGTGCCATGAATTTTTACCAGTGAGGACCAAAAGGGAGCCCTGTTTTGTTTTGTCAATTTATGCTTTCATGGGTGTCAAAAATCCCTGCAGTTCTAAGAGGATAATAGGTATGTTTAATTTGAGTTAAAATGTAGAGCTGATCATTGGTGTCTCAAATATGTGGATATATCGGAGTAATTTTGAAGTCCCAATCCTTATAATATAGAATAACAGTATTTTCCTCTTGAAATCTCAAATCTTCATAAGTTTTTCCTTTCTTCCCATTACGAGGGGTGTTCGAAAGTTATTGAGACAACTGCATTTACTCCACGAAGGACGGAGATAATTTCACAAAAACTTATCAACATTTTATAAAGAACTTATAAAACACTTATGCAAAATTTCTAATTCCTGTGATAATTAGATAAGCTTTGGTGAAATAATAAACATGCATATGTATATCGACCCGGAGCAGCATTGCTACGTCATTTAACGTCATGCCGGCCGGAGATGGTTTCGCATGTGAAACGATTGGGAAGCGTTTAATACTCTTCCTTCTTTGTTATTACATATAACATTACAAAAATCTAAATGTCTTTTTTCTGAAACTATTCTTTTAAAATGTATGCTGTTGCTACCCCAGTGTAAAATTTTCATTTGTAGAAAAAGATGATTTAGAATTATGTATTGCCGATTTATGCAACGCGGGTCAACGATAATAATACCGTGACGATATTAATACCGTACGTAATAACTGGTCGTCGTCCAGAGCTTTTAATTTTACTCTGGGTGAATTGACTGTAAAAAAAAATGCACACCAATGAAATAACAAACCATAACACGTTATTTTTTTTCTCGTTGTTATTGTCTTAACGGGTATTTTAGTCTGGAAAAGATTCTACGTTGCGCTACACAAAATTTTAGGTATGCTGGCTGCTCCGCCCTTGACGTCAAAATCCAATTTGTCGTTGTTAGCAGATTTCTCTACTGCGCTTCACTTTCTTATGATCAAGGTATTTTTGATCAAAATTCTAACAAAGTTGCACAACATGAATTTGAAATAAAGCTGAAAATTTACACACATAAATTGAATTATTTTCGCTTTTATTATGGGTCCAAGAAGAGTTAGAATATTGGTGCTATACATATTTTCAATATATGATTTTGTGACTGCTCCGGGTGCCCCTATTATTGATACATTTATATACCATTGTAGAGAAAGTATTAAATATTTGTAAAATATTTCTTGCTTTTATCAATTCTAAGTGTATGTCAAACATATGTGCAAATTTGCACCAAAAGACGTTCATTAGAAAGCAAAATATACACAATGTCTCAATAATTTTCGAACAGCCCTCGTAAGTTTCAGATTATAAGATTTGACTATATTCTGCTCTACTTTTCCAAAAGATGCTCTGCATTGGCTGAGAAAGAACAGTACAAAGTGGATAAAACTTTATGAAGAAAAGATAAAGGCATCTTTGGAATTTGTAATTGATAAAATTGTTACACCGGTCAAATCGCCAGAAGATGAAAAGGTATGTTTAGAACAAGTGTTTGTAAGAACAAATGAACCCAAATTCAGTTGTCATTTGACCAAATTTCTCCGACTAAAGCTCTTTTGATTTCCTATTTTTCTCTAAGGTTTTGAAAACAGTACACCTTTCACAATCCATCAATTAATTTCAGACCACCCTGCTGTACAGCCAAGCTATTGCAAATATCTCAAAGTCCATATCTAATGTTGTGCTGAGATCGTCCTGTGAACAGTTCCGCAGAAAGTGCTATCAACTGCTAGAGGTATCTTAAAATCTAAGCTTATCAATTAATTGTCATCAATTCTTTGTTAGCTGTTTGGACAAGTAGCTTCATTAACACCTTTTTCAGATATAAACAGTTTTCTTATTAAACGCAATACTTTTCTAGGCTGTTTCCTTACACATTTTTCTCTTCTGGTGTCATTCTGTGCTACAAACATGACATAAATGGGGCTTGCCAGTGCCAGAGTCTAGGTTGGTGTTTTCTGGAGTAGCTCAGTTAGTAGATGATCTTATTGGAGTTCCTGGGTTCTGTGTTTGAATCCTGCTGGTCTCCTCTGTTGCATTTCACCCCATCCTACAATGCAGTTGTTTTAATATTTTTCTTTCTCCCTAGGTTGAAGAGGATGGCTCTGTACAAGTGTCCCTGAGTAAAAAGCTTTGGAGCATCTCAGAGTCATTTGGAATTTTTCAACCAATAGACACAATGGAATCAGAGGGAGTAAGTATTTCCTGTTGTACCATTTTATTCCAAATACAAATTTGTGACCTTGACCTATCTTTTAACCTCAAAATTAGAGGGAATCTTTCTTATATTAGAGTCATGCCAGGAATAGCTCTAAGTTTTATTTAGAAAGTTCAATGAAAAACTGCATGAATTGCCATCCAGATGATAACTTTCAGTTTTCTTTGAGCTTTTGCAATAAACCAATTTACTCTACTTATCATTTTCATTATAGAATTTTGGTACTGAAAGAAGAACTATGCTCGATCCTGAAGAAAACAAACCAAATGAACCAGTACTTAGAATCTCAGAAACTGATCCTGTAGGAGACAGAGACTTTCTAGAAATTCATGAGGAGGATTTAGAGAGATTAAACTGGTTCCCAGAGCCAGGGGAGAGTACTGAGGCTTCCACAACAGCAGATTCTTTTGAGAGCATGCAAATGTCGAAATCCATGAATGAGATTTTATGGGATGAACCCAGCATTGCTGGTAGAAAGCCTCAGGTTGTCCTAAAAGACAACACTGAAACCAGCAATAATAATGGTGCATTTGAAGAGGATGCTGACAATCCTACACATGACTTTGTTAAAAATGCTGATTTCTTCAGAGATCAGAGCTCAGAAGAGAGTCAATCCCTTCTTCAAGATGAGAATTTGATTTCATCCATGTATGCTCATCAGTCACTTAGTCAAAATGAAGAATTTCTGAGTCAAAATGAAGAACTGCCATGTCAAAATGAAAAATACTTGAACAGTCCACCAGAAAATATGGAAGATCATTTCCATACAGTAATGGCAGCAGAGGAAGAGTGGAATATTGCTGGGATGGAGGAGGATTTGAGGGAGTGTACATACATTGAAGATCAGTCTCTGAGTAACACTGCATCAGGCTCAGATTGGAGAAGACTGAGCAGCCAGCAGCCACAACATAGGCTAACAGAAACTGCACCAGACTCCATTGCAGTTTCAGAAATTTTAGTAAAGGTAAATAATATTCTCATCTTTTGCTGTGATTTAATAGTTCTTTAAGAACAACTTAGTCACGTATTTTTTTTGTCTTTCAATATTATATTGTAGAATATATTTTGGAATTGTAATACATGAATAAATACATAGTTACTAATGGTAAGGTAATTATTTAAAACTTAATTTTCTATGGATTTTTCTGCTTGCCAAATCATGATATTAGGAGAAAACAGTGTGACCCATCAACAGGGGAAGCTAACTCCTCCAGGGCACCTGATCCCATCTCTGATCTTTTAGAGGTCTAAATTTGCTCTGCTCCCATTTTATACTGTTTCAATAAATTTTGACCTTCATTACTGTTTGTTTCCTCCATATTTCATGTGTTAACCAATATACCAGGTATCTGAGCTAGAAGAAACAAGAAGGATGAACTTTTCATGGTCTTGAGAATAGCAATTGACATTTTATATAAATAATTTTTTTAATTATTCAGCTAGTCACCATAAAGGGACAAATACTTTTTTTTAATTAATTAAAGGTATAATTATTATTAACAGGAAAGAAAAACTGAGAAGTTAGATGATTGGCTGGATGATGCACTGCTGGATTTGAAGAACTGGTTTAATGATGAATAGCTGCATTACATTGGTTTAATGATAATTAACTGTGCATTACATTTACATGTAAAAGAACCTTCACCAAATTGTACAATGAGTGTATACCCTAATAATTAACCCAATCTCTCAGTGTCTATGAAATACAATTCACTTGTACTAGATGTGTATCAATTATTCTCTGTGTTTTAATTTCAGACAACTAATTACAAATTGGCAAAATACTAGTACTTATTCGAGTTCCTCATAAATCACTGGAAAAGCCATTATAATTCAAACTTCTGTGGGCAGATAAAGTAAATGACTTTGAATGTTGATGATCCAAATTTCTCCTGCAGTTACCGTTAATTGTCATATATTGTTCAAAGTTTGATGACCTTGGTGTAGTAATGCATTAAATGGCAATCATTTCACTGTTCTACAGCAAACTGTGATCCATTGTTAAAATGAATACCGTATCAGTGGAAATTTTAGCGAGACGCAAATTAAGCAATTTGTTCTTTAAAATTTGTAATCCTATTTTATTTTTAGCGAGATGTAATTTTAGCGATATTGAAAACTTCATTAAAGAAGCTATTACAAAAAAAAGTGGAATTAAATTTTAGCGATATTCAATTTTAGCAATCTCGTCACCCTCGCTAATACATGTACTGCCAAAATTAAATCCCCCGCTAAAAATCTGCTTATACGGTAATTAATACATGTACTCATTTTAAAATTTCAACCAAAAATTTGTGGTATCATCCTTAATAGTAAAACCAGATTCATTGTGTTATTCATCGTCCCTCTTAACCCTTTGTGTGCTGACTTGTTTTATGCGCGCTGTAACCTCAGGACTGAGTTGTCTTGTAATATCAACAAAATTATCACAATAGTGTACTAAAATGCAAATATCTAAAATTGTTGACAACCAATTTGCTTGAGATTTGGCAAAAATAAAGCAAATATTGTGCTTTTAAATTTGTAGTATTTTTTTTTAAAAATCTAATATTTTATGTTGCCATGGAAACCAAATTTTTCAAAAAATATATTTAAAAATGACTATTTAGGTTTTTAAATATATTTTTCAGAGAAAATATTGCACTTTGATGAATAAAAATAAACCAATTGCTTAAAAATTTCAATTTTAGATTTCATATTATGTAAAAAAAAAAAAAAAAAAAATATTTAAATAATAGCTCAATGATAAAGTCAATGTTATATATATTGTTATGTTGTGAAAAGTCATTGTATACTTATCTGAGTAATGGATATATTCATGTAGGTTTAAGTGAATTCTGATTTAAGTTAATGGATTTTTTTTTCAGATTTTAACTAAAAAGAGTATAAATTGAAGATTCAATTAACCTGTAAATATAAAATCAGTGATTATTTTAAGAAATATTGGCAATCATATAAGAAAGTATGATCCTCAAAGAATATGCAGTTTTCAAGGTTGGGAATTCTTGGAGCAAATTGGCACAACAATGAACTAATTGCTGTTACTAGTATTTATTTTCAAATTAAAGCAGTCAATATGTTAAATAAATTAAAAAAAATAATAACATTTACACTAAGTTTTAGAGGTCTTGTTTTCTAATGACTGGTATCTAACAGCCCTAAATATACTATAGTAATTCTCAAATCTTTTTTTTTATTTTGCTTTTATTGAAGAAAACGAATTTCTCCATGTTATTTGTAAAGTTAACATATTCATCAACTTTCCTCCCACAGTACTTCTCACTCTGTAAGAAATGTTGCATTTATTTTAGAAGTTTTATTCCTAGCTGGCTACAATAATTGCCAGCAGGAAAACTAGAATTTTAGATTTTAGAAATTTAAGCACCTTTAACAGTCATTTATAATGTTTCAAAAATTACTACGTTCAATGTGGTCACTGGCGAATAACAGTTTTCATTTTTTTTCCAATTGATTTTAGTTGATGGTTGACTGATATGTACTATAATATCAATCAATATATTATGAAATACTTTAAGTTTATGCAGGTGTAATGGTATATATCATAGATATAGGCCAAGTAAGCTCAGTCAGTAGAAGCAATCTGACCAGGGGTCCCTTCTTCGATTCATGGTCCAGCCGTGCATTTTCTCCTTCCTTGTTACAGATTTAATGCTATTGACCCCTCTGGATTTTCAAGTGAAAGTCCTGTGAGGGGCTAGTAAGAATTTGGATTGTGTCTGCAGGGATGAAGATAACTTTAAGGAGGGATATGTAATGGTTGTGCTATGGGTATCAACTTGGGTACAGTCTTCACTAAATCCTGGGAGCCTGAAGCCCGGGACCTGGTAAAATTGGAAGTGGGCATGTGGAAAAGGCACACATACAAGCATGAAGGGCATGTAAATTCTGAGGCATGGGCCTCCGTATTATCAAATTAAATAATATTTACCAATAACATTAAGTCTTTGATTTTACATCTAAACAGCTTCAAGCACAAAAGAAAATTTTAGAGACAGTTCATTCTAGGAATGAGAAACAATATTAAAGGTAAGACAACAGATTGATAAAAATTGGTTTTGTATCATCTCTTTGGCGTGAAAGGGCAAATAAGAATAAAATTACTTTATAAAATTCTGGGCATGTAAATATTTGTTCGGGCTAGTGTAATTAGAGGTTACAAATGTCCGAAGGGCATGAACTGAGAAAAAGATTTGGTGAAGACTGGGGTAGCTCATTCGGTAGAGCACCTGACTAGTGAAGCAGGGATCCTGGGTTCAATTCCTGGTCCAACCACACATTTTCTCCTTTTCTGTTACATAAGTTTTGAATGTGCCTGAATTTTTACTTCAACATAAAATATTATTCCTAATGATGAAATAAATTTTATTCTATTCACATTTTCTTATTTAAAAATAAACACATCTTTGGAGACCAAAATGTAATCTTTGTTAATTTTTAATTGTATAGGAATTTGCATCTTTGAAAAAAAATTCTTGACCATCATGAAAAAAAAATTCTCACAGTAAATCTTAGCTTTTTTACTGTATTCATTCATGCAAATATGATTATCTCTTATATCAAATGTACCTATCTTACATATCTAGAAGGGATGGAATGTAGAAGCTTCTTGGGCCTTGTAAATTTGTAAACAAGAGGACATTACATATATTAATAGGTAAAAACATGTACAGTGTGTACATTTGAGTTTGAGAAGTATAATTCCTATTACCCAGGCTTTATTGTAATTTATTGAACAGATGTACGTGCAAGTCCATACAATTTACAAATTACTCATTCTAAAGACTCTGATTTCTTTCTTATGCCAACAAAACTGACTGTCACAATACATCTTAATTTTAAACTGTAGAGTTACCATTTATTTAACCAGTGAATTTTATAATTTTGTGTGTGCATGTATAGGTTTGGGCAGTCTCACTGTTTTTAGTTTTATTCAACAGAAATAAAAAGTGGGGGAAATGTGCAATTTAATCCACATGCTTTATTTTGGCAAAAGTCTATCTTAAAGAAAATGAAAATGTCTTAAACTTGGTTTAGAAAAAAAATTCTGATACTGCACCAATTATTTTCCACTTACTAATTAGGTCCCATGCAAACTAGAGTATGTAAATGCCTTGAACAAATGTGACTCAAAGATACCAAAGATTTCGGAACATATTTTGGTTTTGAAATTATTGAAAGTCTATATAATCCTCATCAAGGAAAAAAAGGTATTTTTATTACTTACTGAAATAAAACATGTACCAAAGTTTACACAAATGACAGTCATTTCAGTGAAAATCAGCACTTCAAAATGTTTTCATCACTTTTTACCATTTTCAAGTATATGTACATGATCAAATGCATCAATGCATCTTTTCTGATATATGTTAATGTTTTTTTTTCTTCTCAATACTATTTGGATTTTTTAAAGTAAACTTCAGTTTTAGTGTGGAGAACTAGCTTACATTTGAAGACACTGTATAGAAAATATCAAGTTAATTTTTAAATGTGCTAAAAATTTTACAATATATCATATACTGTTATAAAAAAAAATATTTGAAAGTTTTCCCTAAAAGATGGAACATCAAGCAGCTTTAAACCAGAAATTTTAGGTGTAATTAGGGCCACTTAATTGACTCCATGATTGTCACCCATACGGAAAAAAAGGGCAAACAAACTACTATAACAAATTACTAACAAACCACTATGGTTTGAAAGTAGTTTAATAGTATAGTAAATCACATGCAAATGAGCTAACAAACTATACTCTAACAAACTACTATCAAACCACTCTTAACAAACTATTATCAAACCACTCTAACAAACTACTATCAAACCACTCTAACAAACTACTATCAAACCATTCTAACAAACTACTATCAAACCACGCTAACAAACTACTATCAAACCACTCTAACAAACTACTAACAAATCACTGGTAACATTAAATCCATCAGCAAAACGCTAGATTTGAATTTTCGTTTACAAATCCACAAGTCTTTGAAAACACCTAAAACAGTCACATTTTGAAATATTCAACAAGTCTTGTTTCAGAGTATTTTAAATTCCGGGATTGACAAGTTTAGCCAATGCAAGTGCAACATTCCAACATGTTCCCTATTGTTTAGGAGATGCAATTCCAAGTCAATGTCCATGCAGTTATAAAATTCATATTGTGTATATTTCGAATACCTGTATCATGAATTTAATTTTGCTTGATCACAAAAATATGTTGATGGATATATATCCTCTATATATCTCTTTTGCACTTACTTATTAATGCAATTACTCATTGGAAAATTTTCTTCAGCACATGTTCAAGGTCCTCCACATTTATTACTTTTATCAGGTGGAACCTTTTTTTATCTTTCAACATTTTTTAAATGGGTCTTTAGATTTAAAAAAAAAATGGTTTACTTATTTATTTGTTTATCTATTGTTAAATAAACAAATGCTTTTAATTAACAAGATGCTTCAAATTATTTTTTTTGAAAACCTTTATTTCAAAACAAAGCTTGATTACGTATGTAATCAACGTGCACAGCTACTGAGGAAAATAAAAACGTCTGTGGCTTGCCAGGTTCAATCTCGTGCATTATTGTTTTCATTTAGACAATGTAATGTATGTCTACTTACAAAACACCAAATAAACAAATAATAACCACCGTATGTCCAAAATATAAAACTTTGCCGACGATATAAGCTCTCGATATGCTTCAGACTGAAGTTTAGTAGCATGTGCACCCTACTTTCGTTTTAACAGGAAGAACTTCCCAAGGTTAAGGTCAAGTCAAGTTAACCAGAGTTTTTCTGCCAAAATATCGACAATTTCTGATTAACTTTATGTCTACAACACAAATTTATTAGAATTATTGATATTTAACTATTTTTTGGATTTATTTCTTTATTTTCCTTTATATTAGAGCAAGTTAGAAGATATTTAAATCCCTGAAAAATGGAAAGAGTTCTTCTATAGATATGA